ACACGGGAGGACCCGACCCTGGAGAAGTATAGTTCTAGGGCAGATGATGGGGAAGAGGGAGTAGACGGGGAGCGTTACGAGTGGGTGGGGGATAGGCTGTACAGGATCCTTAAACCATCCCAGAAACAGAATACCCCACCCCAGAACCAGCAGCTGGTGGTGCCTGAGAAATACCGGCAGGAGATTCTGCAGATTGGGCATGATGGCAGGGTGCCAAGCCTGCCTGGGATCTGAGCGCTATTCGCTAAGAATATGCACTCAGATCCAGGCTATCTGGGGATACGTTGCACGAATGGAATATGTTCTGTATTTGTACAATTACTCATTTTTATGTGTTTTTTGTGTTTCATTTAAAATGGTGATTTGCCTCTGTCCTGGGAGATAATTAAATTACTTCTCAATTATCTCCAGGGCAGAGGGGAGGAAACCATGATGCATGCTGGGAATATTCTGTGCCTGTGTGTCCTAACATGCTACATGTCTGTGTGCCATTACAGTCTCCCATTTGGTCCCCTAGAGGAGTGTCCACCAAGTGGGAGGCCTGCATAAATACGGGCGGGTAGCGAAAAGTAAACCCAGTTCTTGTTTTAACCTCAATGCGGAGCTTGGTCTCGTTATTGGGGGGATTTACTACATGGATAGCGACTGATTGATGGAAGTGTAAGCCGCTTGGAGGATATATTGATTCGGCTGTTAGGAGCGATTCGTGGGTTTACCGTTTTGGAGTTGGAGCACCCGTATGGGTCCTGTTCGGGAGATTGGCGCATTCCCCTGATTGTAGTTCATACGATTGGAGTCCGTACGAATGAAGTTTGCGTTATTGCGAGAAGGGAGGATTAACTAAATGGCGGTTATAACTATTTGATGCTGAGGGTGCCGTTACAATTGGTGGCAAGCGACGGGATGACCCTCATCGCCCAGAGAGACAACTACATCCAGGATTAATGGAAATACCGTATGAAAGGTTGAAAAGAGCTACCCTTAAAGATTTACTGGAACAAAGAGGTAGACAAGCCAGTAATCTCAGGAAAAGGGAGATTATTACAATATTAAACGAAATGGATGGAGTACCAGGGGCTGAAGGAACCAATGGGCCCAGCGCAGCTGACAGAACCCCCGAAGAGGCAAGCTTCGACCGGGCAGTAAGAATCAGACTGGCCCAATATGGTCCCAACCCGACTCCAGAGATCATTGACCGGGTCATAGCAGCTGTGGAGGCCAACTTGCTCCGCCAAAGCGATGCTGCAGCAGCCCCAGTTCCAGCAAACCCAGTGGAGAAAAAGAAGGTACAGTTTACAGCGTTTAAATCCTTCATTGAAACAGAAGGAGAGATTGAGGGGTGCCTTGTTGATTTTGAGCGGCAATGTGTGCTACACAAGGTACCCACAGAAGACTGGGTTACTATATTGTCCGGAAAGTTATCCGGCTGGGCCAGTGATGCTTTTTGGGCCATTCCTGATGAGGAGATCGGGGATTATGGGGCTGTAAAGGAAGCTTTGCTCTCCAGGTATGCCGTTACACCGGAGGAATACCGGAGGCGGTTCAGAGACACCGCCAAACTAGCTGGGGATTCCTATGTTGAATGAGCATGTAAAGTACACCGCACAGCTGCCCACTGGATGGCAGGGTGCCAAGCCGTATCCGGGGGAGAGGTGCTGCAGATGTTCCTGCTGGAGCATTGTTTTGAGAAATTATCCCCAGGCGTCAGAGAGTGGGTAAGGGACCATAAACCCTCCACTCTGCATGAAGCAGCTCGCCTGGCAGACGAGTACACGGATGCCCATAAACTGGACAGTGCCATGGGTAAGACTCCTGCCAGAGTGGAGTACCGACCAGCAGCACCCCCAGCAGCTACCGTCTACCAACCACCGACGCACCGCACCACACCGTCAGCTAATAACTACCCGCAGCCACCCCGGTTCAACTCACGGGACTACTCACAACCCATCCGATGTTTTGGGTGCAAGCAGCTAGGGCACAAACCACCGGAGTGCCCGCTGAATAATGCTAACCAGGCCCAGTCTTGGAGGACACCAACCAGCGGAAACCAACGACTCGCTCCGCCTGCTGCCCACTGCGTAGAGGAGGAGGAATGTTGGGGCGTCCTACACGAGGCAGACCCTGTCCAAGCTGCCCACCGGGATAATCGACAACAACACCGGCAACTTGTCAAAGTAAACGGGAAGGAAGTCAGTGGTCTGCGGGATACCGGTGCAACTATGACATTGCTCCAAAAGCACTTGGTGTCTGAGAACCAACACACTGGAGACACTGTGGCTATGAGAGTAGCCGGAGGCGCTGTGTTTCGCCTACCCGTTGCCCGGGTACATTTGGATTGGGGAGTGGGCACTAGACATGTGAATGTGGGGATCATGAGGGATTTACCAGCAGACGTACTCCTTGGAAATGACCCCCCTTGTTTCTGCCTACGCTCCCATGGGTCCCGCCGAGGTTAACGCAGTAACGACCCGTGCCCAGACCCGTGCCGCCGAGACCGGCCCACCTGCTGCTGAGACCCAGGTAAGACTCTCTACCCCGACTTGCACCTTAGATCAGGCCCTCTTAGGCTGGGATACCCCAGAGATGTACAGGAGGGAAACACGGGAGGACCCGACCCTGGAGAAGTATAGTTCTAGGGCAGATGATGGGGAAGAGGGAGTAGACGGGGAGCGTTACGAGTGGGTGGGGGATAGGCTGTACAGGATCCTTAAACCATCCCAGAAACAGAATACCCCACCCCAGAACCAGCAGCTGGTGGTGCCTGAGAAATACCGGCAGGAGATTCTGCAGATTGGGCATGATGGCAGGGTGCCAAGCCTGCCTGGGATCTGAGCGCTATTCGCTAAGAATATGCACTCAGATCCAGGCTATCTGGGGATACGTTGCACGAATGGAATATGTTCTGTATTTGTACAATTACTCATTTTTATGTGTTTTTTGTGTTTCATTTAAAATGGTGATTTGCCTCTGTCCTGGGAGATAATTAAATTACTTCTCAATTATCTCCAGGGCAGAGGGGAGGAAACCATGATGCATGCTGGGAATATTCTGTGCCTGTGTGTCCTAACATGCTACATGTCTGTGTGCCATTACAGTCTCCCATTTGGTCCCCTAGAGGAGTGTCCACCAAGTGGGAGACCTGCATAAATACGGGCGGGTAGCGAAAAGTAAACCCAGTTCTTGTTTTAACCTCAATGCGGAGCTTGGTCTCGTTATTGGGGGGATTTACTACATGGATAGCGACTGATTGATGGAAGTGTAAGCCGCTTGGAGGATATATTGATTCGGCTGTTAGGAGCGATTCGTGGGTTTACCGTTTTGGAGTTGGAGCACCCGTATGGGTCCTGTTCGGGAGATTGGCGCATTCCCCTGATTGTAGTTCATACAATTGGAGTCCGTACAAATGAAGTTTGCGTTATTGCAAGAAGGGAGGATTAACTAAACGGCGGTTTTAACTATTTGATTCTGAGGGTGCCGTTACACAAGCATATATCTGTTATTTTATCCTCTAAACCAAAGTGAAAATGAGGCTGCTATATCCAAAAATTGTTATCACTAATCTATGATGTTATATACCTTTCATACAACACTCTCTGTCTATAACTTATAACTCAACCGCCTCAATAAAGAAAGAATAAAAAAAAATGAATAATGAATTAAGAATCAAACTTGCAATATTAAAGCTAAATCAGCTACCCTGGAAAAAAAAAATTCTAGCTTGACTATATTCTTAATTTGACCATTTGGGCCTAAATTTTGGAAACTCACTTATTGAAGAAATATTTTCCATGCAGCTGAATTCTAAAGAGTTTTACTAAATTCTCAATAGAAATTGGTTGAAGATCAAGGTCATCTGGTCTAAAATGATTTCATTCATGTGACGTAATGATACTTAAAAGACCACTATAGGCACCCAGACCACTTCAGCTCAATGAAGTGGTCTGAGTGCCAGGTCCATCTAGGTTTAACCCTGCAGCTGTAAACATAGCAGTTTCAGAGAAACAGCTATGTTTACATTAGGGTTAATCCAGTCTCTAGTGGCTGTCTCATTGACAGCCGCTAGAGGCGCTTCCGCGCTTCTCACTGTGATTTTCACAGTGAGAAGACGCCAGCGTCCATAGGAAAGCATTGAGAAATACTTTCCTATGGACTGACTGAATGCGCGCATGGCTTTTGAAGTTGGAAGAGGGAGGAGAGTCCCCAGCACTGAGGGAGCCCAGCGCTGGAGAAAGGTAAGAATTTAACCTCTTCCTCCCCTTTTCAGCCAAGCGGGAGTGGTCCCCTGAGGGTGGGGGGGGGCCCAAAGATCCTATGGAGCCAGGAAAACAAGTTTGTTTTCCTGGCACCATAGTGGTCCTTTAAGCTTCCTAAGTGTTGATAACTCCTAGAGAACGATCAAGAGGTGAGTTCAGGAGGAGCAGTGCTGGATTATGTGTCAAATTTCAGGATTAGAAAATGGACATGTACATTTGCACAAATACAGACATGGATACAGTGATGAATACGTACATCTACACGCACACATACACAGATTTGTATTAATGCCCAAATACAGATACTTGTGTTCATATACAGACAGACACACAGACATACACAACCACACAGGGAGAGATACCCAGATTCATATATACAACATGGCTATTAGTATTTGGTGGGATGGCCATTCATTCAGCCTCTGCTGCCTTTCAAACATAACTACCCCTGACTTCTCATTGTTTTCTCATTGGCATCATACATGAAACTACTGCTTAATTGTTAGTTACTTGTGTTCACCCACCAGGTTTTCTTCCCCATGGATGTTTTGTTTCTAGTTCAGCTAAATCACAACCAAACTCATAACTGAGCAGGTTATTTGCCTTACTTGTTATCCAACTGGATTATAATAAATATATATATATATATATATATATATATATATATATATACACACACACACAAACACACATACACACATTTACACAAACACACACACACACACACATCTTAATAACTATATTAAGTTACAAAAATAAAATCATGATGTACTGTACCTTTGATGAAACCACACTGATTTTGTCATTGTTTTGATTCCCGTTAACCTCCACTACTGCTGAATTTATAAATACTGTTGTTCCATTTGCAATTTTGCTTATGGGAGCGTCTTTGTGGTATTCATGGTGAGGATTGTCGATTTCTAAGTGAGTATGAACACCCTGAAAGGGAAGAACATGGATTTAGTGCTCTATTTCCCTTTAGAAAATGGTTGTTCCATATAAAGGTTGTTCCATATAAAGAACAGTCTTTTATTAAAACACTGTTTTGGGATGGAGAAAGTATTTAATGTTGTTTGAGTAATTACTGTGAAAGAATAGGAACATACTAACTGACGTTTGTAAAAAAAGTTTTCCCATTTGACAGATTCTTGTCAATTTTTTAGAAAGTGGTACATGCTCTCAGGAGATTTCAAAGGTATCATCAGGGAAATAGTTCTCTGTATGCTAAAATGTGTAAGCGATAAACCATTACGACATGTTATGTCAAGGACATATTAAGATATTAATGAAAAGCTCTTATCTGTATAAGTATATTTTATACATCTTATATTGATTATAATCAGTCATTGATTTGTCGGTACCTTAGTCACTGTCATGTTGCAGGTATAACATCTTACCTCACCATAGATTTTCAGAATCATTTTCAGCATTCTCTCAACAAAAAATAGAACATAGAAACCTCCAAAAATAGCCACTGCTTTAGCGACATAGTTGTCCTCTTTAGGATCAAACCCAAATGCCTGAAATGAAATATGTAATTTATAGTCAGTAACTTAAATGTAAAGGTAGATACAATGGTATATTTAAGGCTATGATAAAAATCTTTATAATTCTATATTCATGACTATATTCAGCACTCCAAATAGGACTCACAATATGCTAAGCCAGGAGGTTGACTATAAAAATGCACCTTTTCTATACCAAACAATGAAGCCCCTCCAAAAATATATTACATGACTATATTATGTGGGAAAGCCTAATTGAGATTTTCGATGAGGTTGAAATAGAGAGTAAGCTCTCTCTATTATTTAAACAGTATTAAAAAATTAGAAGTAACAGCATTCTTAAAATGCTAGTTTCCAACAAAAAAGAAAAATGAACATGAAATTATATTATAATAATAATGTATACACATTAGCAGTAACTTGTTTAAAGTGAATACGGGAATTAGCAGAGATAATACCACAACAAGGTGACTTAGAACAGGAATATGGCCAATACCTCTTAGGCTATGGTATTAAAAATAAAGGGAAGCAGGAAAACATGGGAAAATAACCAAATATCCTAGCTATGGCAACTTACACAAAAATAATGAGTAGACCTGAAAAATGTTTCCCTAAGGTTGAAGGATAATCAGTGCTAAACAAGACTTAAAAAAAAATAAATAAAAAAAAAATTGGAAATAAATTGAATTTATTGAAATGTATTCTCCTTTGTACAATCATGCAATTGCTTAGACATTGTAGATAACATATATCTAAATAAAAAAAAATGAAATGCCATCTGGGTAGAAGACCTTTTGCATTCTAACTCAGTCTGATCTGCTTTTGCTATTCAACAGATAGATAAAGTAGAGAGCTACAAAGTACGTGCAAGTGTGTGTAAAAGTATAGTGAAGCATCTATTATAGAAAAATAATACCATCTTAAAGTTCTTAAGATATTGATAAACCACTCAACCATAGATATACAGGTATATAAGCTCTTATATCATTTTGTCATTTGTAATGTCTACACTACTCTACCCTGCTCTACCTCCATGAAGTGAAATAGAAACAGTGGGAGATTCATCAAAGGATTGCAATGAAAACACACTGGTGCACAGTTAAAATACAAAAACGGGGGAGATTTATCAAAAAGTCACTGACACTTTAATGTCTAATTTTTAGGTCATTTTTGGAGACTTTTTGGCGCAATATATTAAACGTGTCATATTTTTTCATCTATTCCTTTTCTTGCACCCCATTAATGTTTTTTGAATATGCTTAATATTTTCACCAAAGCAAGTTCATGTGTGTTTACATATTTATATATATACATTAAGGAGAAATAACAAAAAATGTTAAAAATCTAAAACTTACCTCTGGAATAAGTTGAAAAATTGCATTTGAAAACAAAGTTCCAATAGCCAAACCAACAAAATAAGTTAATATTTTTGGAAAATATGGCTTATTTATTAAAGGTGTTATAAACAAGCCAAGCAGTGACGTCAAGTTAATGATAGTCACAGTCAGGAAGCTGTATCCCCACACTGCACAAAAAGAAAAATCGTTTCATTAATTCAGCTATGCAGAACTTTGCATAAAATGGCCTATTTTATTGCAAGAATACGTGTAGAAAGCAAATGTAATTTCATTCCCATCAGCTAATGATTCACAAATGTTTCTAAATTAAACGTAATTAAGGATTAAATAGGATCTGTTACCAGGCACTTTCTTTTCCTTGGTCATTTTAAAGCAATACTCCCAAAACGCTATTAGATTTTGATCTAGTGATTTCTATTCCAAGATATTTCATACAAGCTTTTAACCATTTTTTTAACATGGTGTTGATTATTTGGGGATAGTATAACAATTTATACACTGTAGCCTGTCATAGCGGGGTTCTGCAGAGACAGTTATCAATAAGGAAAAAAAGCTGCTGACATCATAAGTTCAACTTGTTGCTGTTCCACTGCTTTTTGAGTGTGTGTTACATAATGATGTTTAACATGCCCATCAAACAAAATGTAAGTCACATGAATACATGGGGTGCTAATAAGACTATCTAGAAAACAACCATTAATTTCAGACAGCAGAGGGACATACATGTCTCAATGTTTACCTTGAAATAATGTCCTTTCCTTAACTCCTACATTAATCTAACACACTGCACTATACATTAACCTCTACAATAGTCTGATACACTACATTACACATAATATTAACTGCTTCCACACCTTAACACATTACAAGTTCACGAAACATTAATTCCTACACAAACATTAGCCCCTACTATACTGTAACACTAAACATTAACCCCTACAGTACACATTAATCCCAACATTATACTAATATTATACACCATGTGTGTGTGTGTATGGACTCAGCAGTCTGTGTATGTGTATGGACTCAGCAGTCTGTGTGTGTATGGACTCAGCAGTCTGTGTGTGTGTGTGTGTGTGTGTGTGTGTGTGTATGGACTCAGCACTCTGTGTGTGTAAGTGGACTCAGCAGTCTGTGTGTGTGTATGGACTCAGCAGTCTATGTGTGTGTATGGACTCAGCAGTCTGTGTGTGTGTGTGTGTGTGTGTATGGACTCAGCAGTCTGTGTTTCTGGTGGACTCAGCAGTCCGTGTGTGTGTGTGTGAGGATGTGTGTGTGTGTGGGCTCAGCAGTCTGTGTGTGTGTGTGTATGGACTCAGCAGTCTGTGTGTGTGTGTGTATGGACTCTGCAGTCTGTGTTTGTGTGGACTCAGCAGTCTGTGTGTGTGTGTGGACTCAGCAGTCTGTGTGTGTGAGTGGACTCAGCAGCCTGTGTGTGTGTATGGACTCAGCAGTCTGTGTGTGTGTATGGAGTCAGCAGTTTCTGTGTGTATGGACTCAGCAGTCTGTGTGCGTGTCAGTGTGTGTGTATGGACTCAGCAGTCTGTGTGTTTGTGTGTGTATGGACTCAGCAGTCTGTGTGTCTGTGTGTGTGTGTGGACTCAGCAGTCTTTGTATCTGTGTGTGTATGGACTCAGCAGTCTGTGTGTGTAAGTGGACTCAGCAGTCTGTGTGTGTGTATGGACTCAGCAGTCTATGTGTGTGTATGGACTCAGCAGTCTGTGTGTGTGTGTGTGTATGGACTCAGCAGTCTGTGTTTCTGAGTGGACTCAGCAGTCCGTGTGTGTGTGTGTGAGTGTGTGTGTGTATGGACTCAGCAGTCTGTGTGTGTGTGTGTATGGACTCAGCAGTCTGTGTGTGTGTGTGTATGGACTCTGCAGTCTGTGTTTGTGTGGACTCAGCAGTCTGTGTGTGTGTGTGGACTCAGCAGTCTGTGTGTGTGAGTGGACTCAGCAGCCTGTGTGTGTGTATGGACTCAGCAGTCTGTGTGTGTGTATGGAGTCAGCGGTTTCTGTGTGTATGGACTCAGCAGTCTGTGTGCGTGTCAGTGTGTGTGTATGGACTCAGATCTGTGTGTTTGTGTGTGTATGGACTCAGCTTGTCTGTGTGTCTGTGTGTGTGTGTGTGGACTCAGCAGTCTTTGTATCTGTGTGTGTATGGACTCAGCAGTCTGTGTCTGTCTGTGTGTGTATGGATTCAGCAGTATGTGTGTGTGTGTGTGTGTGTGTGTGTGGACTCAGCAGTCTGTGTGTGTGTAAGGACTCAGCAGTCTGTGTGTGTGTATGGACTCAGCAGTCTGTGTGTCTGTGTGTCTGTGTGTATGTATGGACTCAGCAGTGAGTGTGTGTGTGTGTGTGTGTGTGTGGACTCAGCAGTCTATGTGTGTGTATGGACTCAGCAGTCTGTGTCTGTGTGTGTATGGACTCAGCAGTCTGTGTGTGTGTATGGATTCATCAAAATAATGAATCCTCCACCAGGGATTGTTAAAAAAACCCACACACATTGTGTAGGGGGCGGGGCTTGACATGCGTCAGTGGCGGGGTCAAACTGCAGTGAGAGCGGGGTTATATGGCCCCCCTACTTTTGTCCCTGGCCCACCATGTGCCCCCCCCTAAAAATGAATCCTAAAGACGCCACTGACACTAATCCCTACAGAACCATTAACCCATACATTACTATAACAATTACACTAACTAACCCTAACCAAAAAAACAATGTAATATAAAAAATATATAATAGTGAAGCATCTATTATAGAAAAATAATACCATCGTAAAGTTCTTAAGATATTGATAAACCACTCAACCATAGATATACAGGTATATAAGCTCTTATATCATTTTGTCATTTGTAATGTCTACACTACTCTACCCTGCTCTACCTCCATGAAGTGAAATAGAAACAGTGGGAGATTCATCAAAGGATTGCAATGAAAACACACTGGTGCACAGTTAAAATACAAAAACGGGGGAGATTTATCAAAATGTCACTGACACTTTAATGTCTAATTTTTAGGTCATTTTTTGAGACTTTTTGGCGCAATATATTAAACGTGTCATATTTTTTCATCTATTCCTTTTCTTGCACCCTAATAATGTTTTTTGAATATGCTTAATATTTTCACCAAAGCAAGTTCATGTGTGTTTACATATTTATATATACATTAAGGAGAAATAACAAAAAATGTTAAAAATCTAAAACTTACCTCTGGAATAAGTTGAAAAATTGCATTTGAAAACAAAGTTCCAATAGCCAAACCAACAAAATAAGTTAATATTTTTGGAAATGTTTTTTGAAAAATTTTAAAAAATATTTTCCAAAAATATTAACTTATTTTGTTGGTTTGGCTATTGGAACTTTGTTTTCAAATGCAATTTTTCAACTTATTCCAGAGGTAAGTTTTAGATTTTTAAAATTTTTTGTTATTTCTCCTTAATGTATATATAAATATGTAAACACACATGAACTTGCTTTGGTGAAAATATTAAGCATATTCAAAAAACATTATTAGGGTGCAAGAAAAGGAATAGATGAAAAAATATGAAAGGGAGATCCAATAGGGACATTTCCTCCTGGATGTCCCTATTTGGGAGGGACAGTCTCTATTTTAGGCCGAAGTCCCACTGTCCCTTGTTTCTATCTTTTTCTATTTTCTATTAGCTCATTGAAGTGGTCTGGGTGCATATTCCCAGGTCCCTTAAATTTATAACGTTATTCTAAATGTATTTTGATTTAAATATATATGTATATTAATATCAAAATACAGTTAGAACCAATTTAAACCAGTAAATAATTTTTTTAAAATTTGTTTATTATTTATTTATTTGTATTTTTCATTTTTTTCAATGTATTTATTACTTTTATTTTATTTATATATATATATATATATATATATATATATATATATATATATAATGAATGTCATTCTAAGTGTATATTAATATTAATATATATATATATATATATTAAAATACACTTTTAATAATGGTGTATGGGTGTTTATGTGCATGTAAAAGTACTTAGTACTTTTTATTTACTTTATAAACTTTTATTTAACTTTGACTAACTTTTAAAACTTTTTTTCAGGCACTAGGGGGGCTGCCTGAGGCAGGCCCCTGCAGGCACTGCACAAGCCGGCTATGGCCCGGGAAGGCCGGATCAGGGAGCTCAGCATCACGATCACCGGCAGAGGTTCGCCAGCGATCAGGTAAGTGCCTATTTGCGTACCAAATATGTCTGAGGTTGTTAACGACCATTTTTTGTCAGACGTACCTGGTACATCCGAGGTCGGGAAGGGGTTAACCCTGCAAAGATAGTTATTCCAGTTCTTAATTAACTGCAATAATTACTTTTGAGCGTTAACTCCACCTCTAGTGGCTGACTACCAGACAGCCACTAGAAGGACTTCCAGGTCGTTAGGCTATGCATGAGGACATCAGCGTCATGTAAAACCCCCACAGGAAAGCACTGTATATGCTTTACTATGGGGAAAATACTAATGTCAAGGCGGCCATTGCTGCACATGCGCATCAGGTTTCCCCCGCCGGCTGACGTTGGCAGAAAAAGAGCGGGGGCAGAGGCTGAACCAGGAACTTTGGACATCGGCTCTGGACTCAGGTAAGCGACAGAGGTTTTTTTTAACCCCTTCTGCACTACAGGAAGGGGGGCACAGTAGGTAGTTATAGTGCCAGGAAAACAATATGTTTTCCTGGCACTATAGTTTCCTTTTAATGTCCCTATTTTCTAGGAGCTTCGTATTGTTGGTGTGTCTGAGTTTATATCAGAGCTCTGCAGAAATAATACTCACAGTAATGTGTCTTTAAACTACAATAAAAATGTTTAGAAATCAATCTGTGCAAACAGATACATTGCTCTTGTTCTAAATTACATTTTAATTGCATAAATTGTTATTAGTAAGTCACCTAACTTTACTCAGACAAGCCCTGTACTTGGCCACATTTACATTTTTGGAGCATATGTTTCCAACACTTTTTCCAACATAAAAGTGGCAGAAATATAGCACAGCTGTAAATTTGGTGGTCTTCTGAAATGGAAATTTATGTGAAACCTTTCAGAATTTACTATGATTAAAACAATCACATTTTAGATTACTTTAATACATAGGATAAAAATAATGATGGGATTTAACTGATACTTGTCAGAGCACTTGTTAGCACTTTCATAAATATACCCCATAGTTCCCACTGATCCTCTTGGTTTTATGTGGTGATTGCTTTATTTACAATTTTGCATCACTTTTTAGATCAGGGCACTTTGATAAATCTCCCCAGGTGTTTTGGGGAAAGGGAGATCCAGCTTCTCCTTGAAAATATAAGAGCTTCTGTTGTCAACGTGGTTAACCAAAGCAATAGTAAACTTCAATAGAGGTAGGAAATGAAAGCTTTGGTGGTGATGATGAGAATTGCTAATGTACCATGAACAGAAGACTGCAGTTGGTCCCTCATTTCAGTAGATGAAGCAGATAATGATATGATGCAGCTTTGATGAGATATATGTATTGTTAAACTCAGATTCCATTTATACCAAGATGCATTTACCAGCATGCTGCCCCCTTCTTGTACTGTTTCCTCGTGGAAAACATATGTAATTGTCTGATATAATGACCAGAAGATGGCTGGAAAAAATGCTTTGACAACCACGGTCATAGACTTTTTACAGTCACTTAAAATTCAGGATATCAACTTAAATGCCAAAACTTCACAATACCAGCCAGTAAAACATAATACGAAAGTAACTTCATACACGATTTTAAGTTACTAGTAGAGTAAAATAATGTAACAATAGGTGCTTAGACAACGTAATATAAAGAGTGTAAAGTTAAATGAAAATAAGTCACCGTGACCAATAGCAGGGCAAGCATCTGCGTAAAGAACAGTAAGGAAAAAGGCGATACTGGTAATTCTTAGAAGCAGATGTTAAAGAAATGCAGCGTGCTGCATTCAAGCAAAGCCGCCTTGGCAAGACATCAGCAATGCACCTGTGTGAGCACACGTCACATAGCAAGAGACCTTTGGTACACTGAGGAAATGCAGACATGTCTCAGAACACAGGAGCAATCTTAATGTTTATGTGTTCTAATTGCCCCACAAAGCCTTCACTGAAAGATGTGTCAACCTGTCAAGCCTGTGGTTTATTGCCTGTCAAAGTTAAAAGATTTTTTCCACAACTCATACTGCTACAATAAAAGATTGCTTTACATACAAAAATAGTTTCACTGTTACAAAACGGCATATTCACGGTCACACTATTGCAGAAAAAAATGAAATTGCTGGTTCCATCATTATTCTATATAAGGGCTAAAGGCAATCGCTGTAGTTTTCTCTTCACTATACTAGTTGCAATTTATTGTGCAAAGCAAATTATAGATAGATTAGATATGTAAGAAAGAACTGCATATATAAGCTCTTTGATACTCAAAGGAACACTATAGCGTTAGGAATACATACACTATAGTGTGCCTGTTCCTATCTAGTTTTAGTTTGCCGTAAAATGAAGAAAATAAAGGTTTTACCTACCTATTTCATGGCAAAACCTCCTCAGTGCAGCTTCTCTCTGAGTCTCCTATAATGTCATCTATCTGGTGATGGTCCAATCCAATGCTCTTTATTGGGGACCTGATGCACATGCATGGTGAGTACTGTGCTCATCCAATGCTTCTCATAGCAAAGCATTGAATCCAATGCTTTCCAATGAGCTACCACATCACATGACAGAGTTGTACTTGGTCGGTGCAATGGACATGCTTCCAGTGGCTGTCTAGAAGACAGACACTAGAGGTGTGTTCAACCCTTAAAGTTAAAATCGCAGTTTCTACAAAACTATAAATCTGCAAGGGTTAAAAAACTGTACCACTGAACCCAGACCACTTAATTGAGCTTAAGTGGTCTGGGTGACTTAATTGAGATGAAGTCACCCTTTAATGGTGTAAGATGCATAAGTATGTTGATTCTACAATATAAATTAATATGCCATAGTTTGTTTTGATAAAAACTGGTTTTCATTTTCATAAAATGTATGCATATACAGAGAAAGTGTTTGGATGAATGGACAACACAATTTAGCATTACAAGTAAGTTCTGTTCATTTAGTGGCTAAATATGGCATGTAATTTTACAATGGCATGTCCTTTTAGAGAGGAATGTCATTTTATTATTAGTTGCTTCCAACAATGGTTAATTTATTATGAGTTACTTCCAACAATGGTTCATCAAGGCAGCTTGTAATGGGGATGATCAGTTGATAAAGTAACCCCAATAATTACATTGACCCAAGTACTAAATTCAAAATAAATCCTTTTCACTTTGGATAACTTCATTACCCAACCTTGCTTTGTTAGGTAATAGACAAGTACAGTTTTTGTCAGTAGGCTTATAGGCAAATGGCTTGATTGCTACAATTATTATTAAATCTGCCTAAAAACCAAGCGAACAATTCACCTTGACAAACTATAGAAAACTTGAACTTGAGTCTCACCCACTGAAAGAATATATCTAAATCTGATCATAATAGAATTATTCATAATAGCTGTGCACAACAGGTTAGTTGGTTAATGTAAGCGATGGTATATATACTTCTGCCTATCAATTTAACAACATTACATACATCAATTATTGTTTACTGGGATGAATGCAATAAAAAACATGAAACTTCAATCATGACAATTTTTCTTATATGTGCAATAAGAGTAAAATAACCTGTGCTAGCATTTTATGAAGTGCTTTATTTATTTAACATCTACTATACAGACGGATTTCTGAAGAAATTATACTTAAGTCCTTTTAATAACATGAAACTGGTGTGTAATTATGCAATATAAAAAGTATGCTAGAATCAGCAAGTAACGTCAAATAATATCAGGTTTTACGCATAAGTTTAATTCCAAGAAATTTGTAGTAACTCTAGTATTGTGGTTGTGTAGACAAAATGTTATACTGACATTTAAAGATGTTTTCTTTTTTATTGGGGCAATTCATGTGTTAACATTCTATAAACAAGTAGCTCTTGTCATGACTTTTTGCATAAAAGCTAAACTATTTATGGGCTCATACATAGGGTGTTTAAAAATATGTCATAGTGTCTCATCTGTAGTGTCGTGGTGTCTTTTATAATGATAGCTTTAATATGCACCAGACATGTTTCAATCAATTGTGGATACTCTGATACTACTATAATATTCAAGAATTGTGTTACTCTGAACCAGAGAACTATCCAGACACACGATGGATGATGAATTCTATTACCTAGAGTGTCCTGATCTCCCAAGACTGTGCCTTCCCAATCCTCCCGTGGATCCTAATCTCTATTTAAGCAAGTTCCCCACTGGCTTTTTTAGAACAGTATGAAGTAGGTTAAGCGTTTCTTGATCTCTTGTGCTCACTGCTATCTTGCCTGGAAACAGATTCATCTTAGAGACTATAACAATACCATTGTGATAAAACGGTATTCAAGAGTGACTATGATTAGTTTTTTGCTTTACTAAGACTTTTGGTAGGAGCAGAGGTACCATAAATCTCAATTTACCCTAGACAACCTTAACATAACATGATCTCTACCCTTAAACATGCACTAATTCTACATGCACTAAGTCTCTCTAACAAAAGTGACCCCCTAACTGTAAAAAAAAACGTAAACAGCAATACATATTGAATAGGATACACTGCAAAAACAAAAATTGGAGGACCTTTTACAAATATTTACACATTTTCCTTATTTCATAAACCGCTTACAAACTGGCATCCATCTTCACTTGACAACTATATATGTGTATTCTACCAATATATCTTTCCTGAATTGTTCATTTAGAGAAACTACTATCTGAGCTTTCATACGCACATTCATTCACTGTAAAATGTACAGTACATGAACTATCTCAGTAAACCAGCAATGCTGAATTCAGTACTCCTCGTGGTATTAATACTATTTGCCGTTATATATATATCTTGCAGGTAAGTAGAATATGGACATTCATAGTACAGTTCTCTGAGTATTTTGCCAACTATGAACAGTATAATAAAAAAATATTTTTGTTAATCCTTTTTATTGCAAATTCAGTATTAACATTAATATATTGCTTGTGGACCACAGACTCCAATCATCACAGTTTCAGTAGATCAGTCTTACCTTCTGCAGGACTAGGCCGCTGGTAACCCGCATTTTGTTCATCTGTACACGGATGAGCAATAATTCGATATAAAATTGCAGGACAGATATTCTTGAAGTTTGTTGTAGTAATTTGACTTTCATTATGAAGTCCATAATGTTTAAATATGTCCTCACTGGATAAGCACTGGAAGAAAGAAAAGGTGAAAGGGAAAAATATAAATCAGGATTGGTGTATAAATATATGTACACACTGAAATTGTGTCTGTCTATCTGTATCTGTCTGTCTTTGTTAGTCTATCTCAGGACCTAACACAGAACATAAACAGTATGAACCACATTTTATTCTAGAACACCTCAATAATTGCATTACATAATAAACTGTAGAATGTTAGCAAAGTTTGATCAACATATTTTATGGAAACATTACATTGTGAACGTGAACATTTTTAGCCCAGATGCCTAATTTTATATATCTGAGAACACTCACAAACCTTTTTCATTATTTTTATGCTTGTGATTGTCCTTTTTGACATATTTTTGAAAAATAACAACTGGAAAAAAAAGAGGTGCAAAACACAAATTTTTGCAAGTGATATAAAGAGATTTTCTTCAAAAACATTGAAAAAAAATGAAACGGACAAACCAAAACTCCCACTAAAGTGCTGAAACTGGCCTAAACAGGGCTTTGGTGTCCTAAAAATATCAAGAGATGGCACCTACCAACTGGACAGATGTATGCTTCACATAGGACAGCAAATCCCAAGATTATAACCAAAAACAAGATCAAGCACACACAAATTGCCCAAACAGTGACTTTATTCAGATCCTTCCAGCAACATATCAGTCTTGATAAAAGCCATCATTGGGCCTAAATGTTACTGAGGGTACACCAGATTTTTGCTTTTTTTCTCATTTGGGTATCCTAGACACAACTGTCACACCCTTTTCTCACTCTTCTATTCTATGTAAAACAAATTACAGTTGCTTAAAATAAGTTTTAACCTTTTTGGAAAACCAATATTCACGAGAGACAAAAAACCTTCAAAGAAATACACTCTAACTCAAAATTTTAAACAAAATAAGTCTCTCCTTTAAAATGTGTAATCAAGCCCATTTATTGGCTAATACTTGGGAGATGTAAGTATAAATTGTTAACTAAGCCAAATAGAACAAAATAAATTTTCTGTTAATTAATAAAGCACTTTTTGTTATGATTTAAAATCTATAATAGGTGTAAGACTGCATGACGGTTACAAAAACAAAACAAAAAACAAAAAAAAACACTTTAAGATAAGTTTCCAATAATGGGTGTCTGCTTAATGAATTCAGTAGTTTTAAGTTTTCTTTGTGTGCTGAATGAGATAAACTACTTCCAGGTGGCTCTTTCACAACTGATAGGGATGAATGACTCTCAGAAAAATATGATGACAGAGACAATTTGACTGATAACACACATTTGTCTTTGCATATCTGGCAACAAAGTTAAAATTGATGGCTAATTATGTGTATGCATTCCTTTCTAACAGTCTATACACAGTCTTTGTTTAGTTTGGCTTATTGCTCTGCCATCTCCAGACCTTGTTTAGAGGGAACAGGCATTACTAGAGCCATAAGAACTAAACGACATAAGAACTCAACGACTCTCTGGCATTTTATGTAGATGTTGGCACTACAGTTTAAGAATAGGTGATTTGGTATTGATAATTGTTGTTTAGATATAATCATCTTTTTAATTTAGATTTTTCATTTAGTTTTGCATATTTAGAGGGACTTTAATCAACATAACCCATACAGCTCCCTATAGTGATTATCTTATCTAGGGTGTCCTTGTGTTTCGCATTATGCTTTTCCAGCAGAGGAAAATATATGTGCCTTCTTGGCATCAGGGCACCAGCAAATCACAAATAAAACAAACTTTTAAAAGCTCCTGTGTTGCCCTGAAAAAAGATAAGTCAACTCCGTCCTTTTTACTAAAGTGATAATTAAAACTACATTTCACATTTAAGGCCTGATAATTTTGGAGGCACAGCAGGCTTAGATAATGTTTCCAATTTGGCTTTTTTTTTTTTTTTTTTAAATTCTTTATTTTGTACGTGCAGTTATAACAGTACAGCAGATCTCGCCACAACAGCGATAAAAGACATGTTAATGAACATAACAGATAACATTGCGACTGTAGGATAGCACATTTTATAAATTTTTTATATTAGTGTAGTTAGGACTGTCATGCGTGTAGTAAAAGTAAAGTGTTGCTTCTTATACCCTTTGAAATTGAGGATGCATGTCAGAGAAGGTTGCCTGGAAGGGGTGTAGCCTGTAGTTTGTCCCCCAGGGGGGTGTATTCTAGTCTGGAGTGTGTGTAGGGGGCTAACGATCCCACTGAAAAGGTAGTGCTTTATGTGGTATCTTGTTAAGGGTCAGTGGGGGGGCGGGGGAGATAAGGGCGTTTGGGGAGGTTCGCCATCGTAACTGGGAAGGGTGCCTGTCAGGCATAGTTAAAGCCCATTTACCCGCCCGAAGCTATAGGTCATAATAACCATGAACATAAAGCAAAAACTGTTAAGTCCTGTGCGGTTTGAAACATAAAGCAAAAACTGTGAAGAACATAAAGCAAGAACTGTTAAGTCCTGTGCGGTTTGTAGCCCGCTGGGAGGTCTTCAGCGCACCGGCTTAGATGCAGGATTCCCTCTGTGGGCCGCTGGTATGAATGGTGTGACCCTCTCTGGATCCCAGAGTGTCGGTGCCGCTTGGGTCGCGGTCTCAGCGGCTGTCGCGGTCACTCCCATTTGGAGCAGGATGCTCGATATTTCCCAGGTAATGAGTAGGCAGCGAGGTGAACCCCATTTGTATGGTGTTTTGCTTGCCGCTAGCGCTTGAGTGAGTGGACGCAGGGATCTTCGCCATTCCATGGTGGCCTTAGATAAGTCCGGGTAGAAGGTGAGATCGTGATCCTCAAATCGTAATGGTGTTATGTGGCGGACTGCCGCCATAAAGGCTGTGCGGTCTTGCCCCTGTTGGAACCGGAGGATTATGTCTCTAGTTGGCCGTTGTATTCCTGTAACGGGTCCCGTTATACGGTGCCATCCTGCTAGTGTCATAGCCTTGGCTTGTTTGGCGGAGAAAAGCTTAGTGAGCAGTCTGCGGATGAAGTGTGGGAACTCTGCCATCTCCATGGTATCAGGTAGGCCGCGGACCTTGACATTCTTCCATCTCCGCTTGTCCTCGAGAGCTGCCATGTGTTCCTCGGAGCATGTTTGGGAGTGATGCAGTTTGGTCAACGACTGCTCCAGGGTCGCGATGCGGGTCTCGTGTGCTTCTGTTGTGTGCTCTGAGTTGTGGAGACGGGCCGCAAACCCGTTCACCTCCTCCCTGAACTGTCCTATGTCGGCCGCGATGTTGCGGAAGTTCAGCCAGCATGCCCCGCAGGGACTCCTCTGTAACCGGAGGCTTGACCGGTAGTGTCTGCGGAGAGGTCTGCACCTTGTTGGGGAGCTGGGCCTCAAAGGGCGTCCCGTCGTACAGGGATTCTTCGCTAGTAGTGCGTGATGGGGCATCCGATAGCGGCGCCATGACAGGCCTCTGTGAGGAGTGCGGCCTCCACAGCAGATCGCCGATATCGGCCGTGGATGGAGGTCGATCTGGCTTGCATTTCTTATTTTTGCGTCCCATGGTATGTGGGAAGTCTCCGGCTGCGGAGGGTTCTGTTTGTTAGTTGTTATTTTTGTTCGTTTTTGCCTTTTTGCTCGGAGCTGCAGTAATGTGCGTCTTGCTAGTATGGCTGTTCGCTCCGCCCCCCCAATTTGGCTTTTTTGACCTTACAGTTCAAATTCCCTTTGAATTCTCACTTCAGTGAATAAACCTGCTTGCAAATTCAAGGTCACTTTCAGAAATTGTTTTGGACTTATTAAAACGTACCAATACCACAACATTTTAATGAATAATGCATAGATGCTGTTCCTTTTCTCTGTCATTTTAATGCATGACAGTTTCTTAGAGATTGCAATGTTTAAATTATTTTTCGAGAACTGTCCTCTAGTTGCTGAAAGACAGACAATTACTAGTACTTACTCCTTAAGACCTTCAAAAAATCAAAGGTCTTCACATGCAAGACCATAACATAGCATGATGCAGTTGAATGCATTGGACTGTAAGACCTATTCCTTAATCTGACACTTTTGTTTCAGTATTACATAGTCCTAAAAAACACTTGGGTCAAAATAATAATAGACCTACTGAAAGTAGCACAGGTGCGTCATTTCAAACTCGCCATGGTTCTCAAATTTACCCACACAGCATCATTTTCACAAGGTCGCAGTCAAGTCATTCTGACTTTAAATTAATTTAAATGATGTGAGACATGACCTAAATGGCTTTTCATAGGATTTTGAGGTTGGCATCCTAATTTTATATTATTCATGCATACAATTGTTGTAAATGTGATGCATGGGGCATGGCCTATTTTTACCCACTTCTGCTTTTCCTCACTTCTCTTTCATTGTCTCAGATACCCTAAATCAAGCATGTCAAACTCGCGGCCCGCAAATGGTAAGCTTTGCGGCCCAGCGAGCCGCGAATACATACCTAGTGTTCCAAGCAGAGTAGGCACCTGCTTTCCCCACATTGCAGATGCCTACTCTGCTATAATTTACCTGCCTGGGGAGGAGGGGAAGATGGATGCAGGGAGGGAGCTCAGTGTTCCTGCTCATCACTGTTCCTTAGCGCGTGCCGTCTGTAGTGATGCCGGCGCCGGGATATGACATCATATTCCGGCCCCTGGTATCACTGGCATCACTAAACTGCGCACGAGGGAGCAGTGAGAAGTAGGAAGGAGATCTCCAGACAGATGATCCTCACCTGACCCCAGGGATAAATACAATAATGTGAGTGTGTGCAAGAATGTGTAAGTGTGTGTGTGTGTGTCAGTGAGTGAGTGAGTGTGTCTGTCTGTGTTTCAGTGAGTGTGTGTGTGTTTGTCAGTCAGTCAGTGAGTGTGTGTGTGTGCCTGTCTGTCAGTGAGTGTGTGTGTGTGTGTGTGTATGTGTGTGTGTGTGTGTGTGTGTGTGTGTCTGTCAGTGAGTTTGTGTATGTCTGTCAGTGAGTGTGTGTGTCTGTCCGTGTGGCACTGTGTGTGTGTGTGTCTGTGAGTGTGTGTCTGTGTGTCAGTCAGTGTGTGTGTGTCTGTCAGTAAATGTGTGTCTGTCTGTCAGTGACTGTGTGTGTGTCTGTCTGTCATTGAGTGTGTCTGTCAGTAAGTATGTGTGTGTCTGTCTGTGTTTGTGTGTGTCAGTGAGTGTCGGTGTGTCTGTCTGTCAGTAAGTATGTGTGTGTGTGTCTGTCTGTGTGTGTGTGTCAGTGAGTGTCTGTGTGTCTGTCAGTGAGTGTGTCTGTGTCAGAGTGTGTGTGTGTGTCTGTCAGTAAATGTGTATGTGTCTGTCAGTGAGTGTGTGTCTCTCAGTGAGTGTGTGTGTTTATGTCTGTGTGTGTCAGTGAGTGTCTGTGTAACTGTCAGTGAGTGTGTCTGTCAGTGTGTGTGTGTCTGTCCGTGAGTGTGTGTGTGTGTCGGTCAGTGTTGCGATGGCCGCGGCTAGACAGTGGAGGACCTTGAGTGGCACAGAGGCACGCAACACCACGTCACATTCCAACGTGACGTCGACGTGCTCCACCTTCACAGGGTGTCAAGAAGTAGTGGGAGGATCCGCTTTGGCACAGGGTGTGGACGGCACAATTTGGGATATACCAGAGGCCGGCCTCCGGAGTCGCATACTGGCTGCGGCAATGTGAGTGGAGTCTGCTTGTTGGCTAGAGGGGGTGCTAGGATTTAGTAGAGGGGGTATGGGATTTAATATATATTGGGTGCTGTGGTTTAGTAGACGGGGATGCTGTTTTTTTTTTTTTTTATACTGTACTTTTTTTTTTTTGCAGCCCACATAAACTTAAACATTGTTTATTTGGCCCTTGCTAAACTTTGAGCTTGACATGCTTGCCCTAAATGCATTCCTGACTTATTGCCTAGTATTTTGACTTTGATATCCTTTGAACCTAAGTGTGTCTTGTACTTTGCATTGTGTTCTTGTGCTGCTAACCCGGCTTCTCTTAGACTATGACTATAGTATCGAGTGTTCCTGTGTTCCTGACCTGTCTAAGCTTAGTCTACAACTATTGTATCCAATATTCCTGTGTTCCCGATCCAGCTAGTTTTAGACCACAATTATGGTTTCCAGATATTCTCAGACCTAATTTTGTGTCTCACTGCTAGGTTTACTGGTTTTCAATCTTTGTCTCTCTCATTGGCCTGGCCTATTTAAATTGTATTACTGCAGTTTACTGTCTAGCATTAAGCCCCTACAGGGCTGGTGCAAGACTATTTTGTGTTCTAGGCAAGACCAGCTGCTTGCACCCCCCCCCACCCCAAAAATTTTTTTGCCAACTTTGTGGGTCTCTTTCTTCCCTCATACCCTTTGTGTGTCTCGTCCCCAGCCCCTTTTTGTGTCTTATTCTCCCCAATACCATTTTTGTGTCTCTTTGCCCTTCCAGACCCTTTGTGAGTCTCTGTATCACCCCCTTTGTGTGTCTCTTTGTTCCTTTGTGCCCTCCAGCTCTTCTGTGTGCCTCTTAGCCCTTCCGCCCCTCCGCCCCTCCTACCTTTATGGTCTTTCCCTCCTCCCGTATTCTGTGCCTTGAATATCTATGTCCATGTCAGACAGCGCTCCCCCTCCTGGATGAACTGAGCGTGTTAAAGGATCTTCTGTTTCCTCTACCCGGTCTGACAGGAAGCTGTTCATTGCTCCCAGCTAGCAGCTTCCTGTGAGACTGGTTAGAGGATACAGAAGATCCTTTACCACGCTTAATTCAGCCAGGAGGGGGAGCAGTGTCTTGTCGATTTCCTGACATGGAGATAGATATTCAATTATTATGATCTCAGAGGAGATAGAGTTGCTGCCAGAAACATATTGTCCCAGCACAGGATTACAGGTGAGATAAAGGTTTTTTAATCATTATTATTTTAATTATTTTAAAACAGTGTGCTCATAATCTAAGGAACAACTGGAAGTCAAACAGAAACACATTTATTGTTAACCTTGGAGTGTTCCTCTAAGGATGTTAAATTATTCTATTGAGTCTAAATTAAAATGCATATTTTTTTTTTAAATGTATTTATTTGTTTATTTATTTTATTACTGAATATGCTTCTGCCATCTTTTTACCTTAGTAGTCTTATGACTTGCTTCAAAAATTAGCATAGTATTTGGAATCAAAGCTATGACAGAAGATTGCGAACAATGTTAATGTAAAATAGACAGAAATATAGCATACAATCTAAATTAGGCCATTAGGATTAAATGCTTTTCTTTCTATTTAAAGAGTATTGAGCAATTATTTCAATAACCACAAGGATGAAGGGTTTTTCCTTCAGTTGTTGTCACTGTTGTTGTGTGACACTTTATGCATACAAAGACAAACGACTAAATATGTTTTTGAATTCTTTGATGGAACAAACAAACCAAACACTTCCAATGCCAAGTCAAGGAGGACGAGGGGGAGGGGGAGTAATAAGATTACAAATATCAAGGTGGCTCTGGGTAAGCAAACAGGTGGAATAAATTAAAATGTACACACAGTGGAAACCAATTTAAATCAGAACAGCTTAACTAAAGCATCCCACTACCCCAACTCTCGGTATGAGCTTTGTCACAGTTTTAAAGGTATTGTTGTGTGTTTTACATATATAGTATTTGTCCGTCATAAGAGTTTCTTCACTAAAGTGTGAAAGTGCTAGAACAACAAGTCAATTTCAAGTTTTAGTCCAAAATAATCAAACTGGAAATATAGCTAAGATAATTTTTCTAGTTATACTAAAATTTAAAAGTTTAATTCACTGTTCAAATAATTTACCCTCTAGTCTAGTGAATATTCCTGCTAATGTTTAATAATTAATAACAACAACAAAGTATTTAACCAGGGAAGGTACATTCAGATTAGTTTGGTTTCCAAGTACATCTTGGGGATGTTACTTTTGCCCAACACCCAGGATGTTGCAATATATAGCATTACCTCTGAATGGATCAGAGATTGATAGAAGGATGAAGGGAATTTAAAGGAACACTGTTGTATTGGGAATATAAACCTGTACTTCTAATGCTAAAGTGTTGCTGTCCCTAGTCGGAAATAGGTCCACACGCCTGCTTGCAGTACTTACCTCTTTCCAGGTCCAAAGCACCCATTGTACTGCTCTCCTCTCCACCTTCTGCGACATCACTGAGGAGGCATTGACTGATCCGCGATGGGAATCCAATGGGAACTTAATGTGCATTGAATCAATGCTTTGCTCTGGGGGCTTCTGAATCATGTAGCCAAGTTTTACTCAGTGCCTCAGTGGCACCTCTTTTGGCTGTCATATCAGCTGTTTGACCTGCACCCAGACCAATTCATTGAGATTAGGTGGTATGGGAGACTATATTATCCCTTACAGAAGTCTGAGCCCGATTTGTGGAACGCATCAAAAAACAAAACAATAAGTGAAAAGTAATAATATGATGTGTGTTGTGTTTCAGTAATCAGCCTAAAAGAAAACAAAGGAATATTTTTCTCCTTTTGTTTGCTTAATTATTTTAAATGTAAACCATTACAAATGAGTGCACTGAACTTTTGCCATGTGTTTGCTTACATCTGAACTTTTACCACCTGTTTGCTTAGATGACGTATTGCAGATGACTCGATATTTAAAATATGCAGAACGGTTATCTCCCTGAAACAAGCAGGCATTGTGAAACCAAATTGCGTTAACAATTAAACAATGCAAGTTTCAGATGTGACACAGCTTGGTAAAAGGAAATACTTTGTTGCATCTTAGACTATTTGATCTCACGGAAAAGAAAATTTCCAATTAAAACATAAGCTATTTGCCAAACACATAGCAAGGGAACCCCTTTACAAATATTATGTTCCTTAACTTACATTTAAATCAGGAATAGGAAAATGATGTATAAATTGATCAGCTCCATTAGCCATAATTGTTTGCAAATCATGGGATTTGTACTTGGCTAAAGAAATACATTTACCATCTTCTGTAATGTTCTTACAGCCAAAATCCTGGCAAACTTTAGGGGAGATGTAGTCCACAACTTCTGAAGTGCCAACGGTTGCCTAACACGATTATGGTTAAAAATTCTATTGATTTTCACAGTAATTGCTCCAATTTTAGAACTTAGCACATCAATCACTTTTTTTAATTCTGTATTTTTGCTGTGCACAGATATACATACAGCCTTGCAATGCCCCAACAGCAGGAGACATGGTTAACGGCAGGTAAAATAGGCAATGAGTAACCAATGAGACTGACATTACAGAAACTGAATTTGCCCTAAGATTTCCACTGAAGTGTTAGACAACATTAGGTTGCTGCACTGTACAAGAAAAGGCTAAAAGAGGAGAGGAAAAAGTAAAAAATAATAATTAAATAGCCAGACACAGCCACTCAAGCTACATATGGCAACATGAGAGATTAACCCAAAATAACATTACACAGGCAGAGGCATCTGAGTCCCTGTCAGCTTATCCCTTTGAGTAGAAAGAATAGGGTACCATTAGGTAAATGCTCTCGGACGTCTCCTTGACAGCTCCAGATCAGAGGCCCTGCAGCTCCAGGCCTGTATGAGTGCCAGGTGCTGCAGTCCACAGACTTGGAAGCCCCCAGGAACTAGAGTCTTTCCCCAACTGGGGGTAGCAGGAAGATCTGGGTAGAGAATACCTCCGTCGGCAGACAATCTGCTGCTTGTGTTGTCGGAGCTTAGAGGCAGTGCCTTGTGAGGCTCTTGGTCCGAGAGGGCAGGCAACAGGGTGAGTAGATGTCTCTTGAGGGGGTATCCTCTTCTCCGGTACGGTGTGTCTCTGTTGTGGTTGCAGTGTAGGCAGCGAGGCTTTCATGCGCTTACGTAGTTTAAGCCAAAAGCCCTGGAAAATCTTGTCTGTGCATCGATCCACTGTGGGGATGCAGGGATGGGATTAGGCCCTGTACATGAGCATGGGGTACATCCGCCATCTTGCTTGAGAATAGGCATCAGGGTGCCTCCGGAGTGCCAATCTGAGCGCAAGGTAAGTGCAGCTGAAGTAGCACGGTGAACTTCAGTGTGGACCGGGATATCCCCTGCCAGCCCAGAGGGGGGAGACATTGCACTGGGTCAAACAGATGCAGATGTGAGCAGAGGATTGGCCACCTCCTCCACACAGAGCAGTGGCATACACACGACGCATGGGGCCCTGGTGCGAAAATTGATCCGTGGGCCCCCCCCGGGCACTTACTCTGCACGGGCCAGGACCACAACACATGACGGCGGGCACCTGGTTGGAGGGATCACAGGGCCACAGGGTGGCCAACTGCTGGGCCTCCCAGGAGAAGAGGCTGGCCCCACTGGCATACATACCGGGTCGCAGGGCGGCCGGGCCCCTGGTGGGCCAGGCCCGGTTGCAGCCATGACCCCTGTGACCGCAGTATGTACACCAGTGCATCAGAGACAAATCTTCTCAGTACCAGGAGTTATTGCATACCCAAAGGGATCTCTCGATGGGCTGCAACTTCTCGTCATGTAAAGCTGGGTTACAGGCTTAGATTGGTTAAGGTTTCATTATGATTGGCTTATATTTGGGTTTTTATTGAGGATCTCTAGCAACATACATCTGCCTTGATCAGTGGTCAGGTTCCGCCCCCAACAATCACTTTTTATGCATCTCCAATATGTAGACATTTGTTTTTAACACGTACTAGTATGTCATAGGTTTACTGAAAACTACGTGATTCCTTGATAGGTTTACAAATGACTTTATCTATGACGTTTAGGAGTTATATAAAGAATGGCTGAGTTTAGAAGGAAATGTAGTTCAAAAACATCTGCAGGTTTATATACTAAACTCAAAGTAAATTTTAAAATTTAAAGGGGACCTGCCATGCCCCAAACAACTTATTCTCATTAGATTAAGCAAGAGATTCTATATATGTATTATGCTAGCATTTTGGCTAATAAATGTACAGATTCAGAGAAAAACCTATACAAAAATAGTAGATGAATTTTGTCTGAAAACGAATGAACAAATGGACGAAATTCACTTTAGACAAAACAAACATTTGTTTTGTCCAAATGTGTTTGTATGAAGTGAAAATGTTGTTGGCTCTCAAGTCTATATACTGTTGTTAATATATTTACATTTATTATCTAAACTGCCCCCAATGGTATCGTTTTCAATGCACTTGAAAAATGCTGAGTATTTTTTATGATACAAAAGAAAAGCAACCTTACAAATTCTCCAAATTAGACTAGCTAAGTGGGTGGGACTTTGTTACCTTATCAGTCTGGTCCTGTAAACAAGTTTTAAATGCTATCAGATTTGCTGGGACATCACCTAACAGATAACTGGACTTAAGTGCAGCATGTTGTGGGGATGATTCACTAAACAGTGCGCGGTAATACACTGCAAACCTAGACAACAGTAATCAAGTGGAAAACATGATCTCTCTTATAAGTCAGTCATTAAATAACTAACCAAGTGAACTGAAAACCTGACTGGAAAATGAAGGCAAAAAAGAAAGCTGTTACTATAACTTGAGCTGAAGATTTGTTTGTTTATTTATTTATTTCAAATCAGCGATTTTAGATGAAATTTGGAGAATCTGTTTCAAATTGAAAAAAATTTCAGTGTTTACTGAATTACATTTTTTCCGGAATTTCGGGTATTTGTAATTTTATTTTAGTGTTTTTGTAACAGTCAAAGTTGTAAGAATTATATCAACAACTTGGTAAACATACTAATTAACAGAAAAATAAAACAAATTCCAAGTAATATAAGCTTTATTATTAAATAGACCGGGATTATAGGTGGAATGTGAAGGATGGCTGAATTGTTTACAGTATATACTCGAGTATAAGTCTAGTTTTTCAGCACATTTTTTGTGCTTAAAAACCACCACTCGACTTATACTCGAGTCACTGTCTGTATTATGGCAACTTAGAGAGCCGCGGCCGTCAGAGCCGTGGCAACGATCCGCGTGGCAACCAGTCCGCGAGACTTACTGTGGAGCTGACCGGAACGGTGGAGAAGGGAGCTGACAGGAGCTGCAGGAAAGGTAAGTAAATGCTTCCTGCCGGCCCCCCCACTTCACAGCCCATGCCACTGGACCACCAGGGATTAAGATAGCCCCCCTCCATGACCAGTTAACAAGCAGGGAGGGGGGACAAAAAAAAATTAAAATAATAATATTTAAAAAAAAAAAAAATAATAAAAATGCCCTCCCCCACCCAGTTTACACACACTACACAAACACACACTCTGCATTATATACACACTCTGCATTATATACACAGAGTGTGTGTATATAATGCAGAGTGTGTGTTTGTATGAATGTGTGTGTATATATAATGCAGAGTATGTGTTTGTATGAGTGTGGGTATATCTAATGCAGAGTGTGTGTTTGTATGAGTGTGTGTGTATATAATTATAAAAATCACAGAATTTCATAGCTTTCAAGTTTTACCCTCGACTTATCCACGAGGCATAGCGTATTTCACAATTGTTGGTCACAAAACTGCACTCGACTTATACATGAGATCGACTTATGCACGAGTATATACGGTAGTTAGATGGTAGAAGATTGTAGGACTTCAAAAAAAAAAAAAAAAAATATCAAGAAAAATATGCAAAGCTAAAACCTGGCGCTTGTAGCAAAACATCTGATTAAATAGGTATTACCCTGGCATTCCAATGCTTTCTGTCTCTAATTCTGTAGAATTTAGTTGCTAATGACAAAAACAACAAAGTCAAAATATGTGTAAATATCCATTCATTAGTACATTTCACTTTTCTTCCTCAAGTGATTTGTAACTGTTATTTTTCAGAATGGTTCTAGTAGGCCAAAATACATCCCCCATATCACTGGCATATGCAAGGGGTCGGTCAGATATGGTCAGTCACACCAAACTGCCCACCATTTTCACAGGTCTCAGTGGATACTATGTATGAATTTGCGTCCGATTGTTATATTTCTGATTAATATGACTATTGTGCCTAGTTGCAATTAGAGTAAAAACTTACACTTTCAAAATTAGCCATTTAAATCTTGTACCAAAAATCTGTATTTGAGCAAAAATTGCTCAAAAATGGTATGTATATATTGTAGGTATGTCCTTTCTGTGCTTTTATTCTAGAAACAGTTTGACATGATTTCTTGCTCAAATTGTTACAGTAGATTATAAGCAAAAGTTATGCTTCGGTTTCAAAAAGTAAGTATCCTGTCATGCATATTTTTTGCATAATTTGAATAAACTCCCAGTTCAGTCTCATATCTCAGAGCTCAGGAGACAGGAATTACAACTGAACAAAGACCTTAAAAGTAACAAATATCAGCTTCATTGTATATGTTGGTCACTATTGCTATTATCCAATGACATCTTCAAAAAAAGGAGGTGTATATACAACAGCTTGCAGTTCCTCAACATGACCCACAGCCATCCATTTACACCTACTACTCCTAGCCATATATCCACCCCCACTACCACCTGGCACACATTTAATTAAAGCCATCCATACACACCCATTAGCCCTAGCAATATACCTACAACAATTATTTCCAGGCAACCTTCAACACCCACTAATCCCATACATACATACACATCCATTATCCCCATCTGTCCATCCAAACCCACAACCCCAGTCATCCAACATCCAAAAAGTCTGTCAAAATGATTGCAAACTCCATCTACCAGCAACTCCAGGTCAGCTTCATTTAATTTTTCCTATCTTTTAATCATGCTCCCACTCTAGCAACTATAGACCTCCATTATTTTTGTTCCAGAGTATATCTCTGATGGACTTATTAAATTGGCTGTCGACATGCACCATAATTGTGAGCATTAACAAAGACAGCAACATTGATAGATCATCCAAATAACTCGTGAATAAAGTATAAATGTGAGTAAAATTTCCAATAATTTTCAAGGAGTTTGCTATTTTATGTCAATCATGAGAAAACTACATGAGGTATTTGCAACAAGATGTTATTCACAAGCAGAGTATGTAAAACAACCTCACACAGTTCAAAAGGTAGTCTATATGGAAATTGCTAACTATTTACTAAAGGATGTAAATAGGCCTAAGTATTTTTGATAAAGTTTGGTTGGAAATTTCCTCCTTGTACACTACCTACCTAATACAGAGCTCAGCATACCTAAGCCCCGAAAATAACATTTAATAAAACAAGAAGCACTGTATATTCAGAACTTTGCATCCCACTGGGATCACTGCAAAAATACCCTAAGAATTTCTAACAGAGACTGGTGGGGGCGAAGGTGGAAGATGGAGGCAAACACTATGAGCCTGAGACAGTAAGACACGCTGGGGAGGAAAGAATTGGAGAGTGATAAGTGCATTGTTTTCTTATCATGTTAGGCATGTCTTGATGATAGCGAAGGCAGTAACCGCCAGGCCAAGGGTGGGGCAGTTCATTGTAAAACACAAGGCTGCTCAAAACAGCATGGGTGGGCCAGCAGCTAAGTGTGTATTGCCCAAAAGAGGAATCGTGGACATGGGTATGCATGGCTTGAAAAGGGTGTAACGGATACTGTGATACATTTAGGTTTTGGGCTGCAGTAGTCCATTTAAGTCTTCACTTTACCAAAGTCTGCAAAGCCTCAAAGTACTAAAAAAGCACCAGATTTTTTGGAGCATTTCTGTGGCTTTTCCAGAAGTAGGATACCAAAGAAGAAAATTGTAGTGTGATAGGGTCCCAGTCAATCCAGGACGGTTAGGAAGTTCTGAGTGTATAGTATATGCTAAAACTGACTTCCATACCTTAGGTGTGTACGTTTTCTTCTGGTGTCATTAGAACAAAAGTGGGGCATCAGAGAATTGGGACACTGAGATCATGTAATACGGGTCCCACCAGATCCAAGATGGTTGAGAGGGAGCATAAGTGTGTCTGTATGTATTGGTGTGAACTTTTGCACCTCTGTCAGAGTGTATTTGTCAGTGTGTTAATGTACATGAACGTTTGTGTCCATCTACTAGTGTGTAGTATGTGTGTTTTAGCGTGTTTATATGTAACAGGATGTGTGTCACTAGGTCAGGGGTAGGCAACCTTTTAGCAGCACTGTGCCGAAATAAGATTGTGATGTCCATAGCATGCCGGTCCTATTTTTTTAAATTGAGGTGTGCATGTTGCTGTATTCTGCTTGTGTTATTTATCCTGCAGCTGCTTTGTATTTGTGGGTATATGAGGTGTTTTATTATATATGTTCAGAAGTAGTTTGTGATGTCATGTATGATACCTATGAATGTGGGCTGTGTATGGGGGCTGCTTGTGGAATGGTGTGTGTGGATGGATGTGTCACATTGTGTATATGTGTGGGGCTGTTTGGGGTATTGCATGTGAGAGGCTGTATGTGGGGTTGTGTACATGTATGTGGATTTTCAGCTGTGTTGAGTTTATGCGGATTGTGTGTTGTGTTTGTGTGTGGGCTGGTCATATTATTTGTATGATGGGAGGGTTATTCTGCAGCTCTGTGTATATCTAGCAGTGTGGGTGCCATCACTTCCTCTACGTGCTGCAATGCATAAATTGAGGATTGCCCTTCACCACCTTTTCGTATTAGCAGATATCTGAAGTTTCACTGGGACCCCTGATAGGCCAGAGCCTGTTTGGCTCTAGCAGCCTTGAGTGCCGTGCAGAGACACCTCGAGTGCCATGCATGGCACACGTGCCATAGGTTGCCTACCCCTGCACTAGGTGATAGTTTGTATGTCAATGTCAGTCAGGGGAGTAGGGAAATATAAAAAAGGAAAAGGTGGGACAAAAAAACATGTTTAAGAGGACCAGATAACCCCAAAAGACAGAAAAGGTAAGTGTGGTCAAAAAGAAGACAGGATGGATGAAAAGAACAGAAATAGAAATAACAACACATTTTAAAAATGCAAAAATTAAGAGGGACCTGTTTCATAAGGGGCAAAATAGCAAAAACACATAACTACGGAATAGAGTAAAAAACGCACAAAGGAGAAAAAGCAGGACGTTTGATTAGAATCTGGTGTGAAGTATCTTAACTTTTGTGTTGGCCCTAAATTTTCTGATGTTGGATCTGCTTCTATCTAAATTAGTTCAGGTCATACAAATGCAGAGCTTCTGTGATCTGAGATTGCTTCCCCCACTCCCCTTGTAAAATGATTGAAAATAATTTGGTAATGTAGTGTTATGTATATAATATTGCACATAATGTGTCTGTCAATGTAATTGAAATTTAAAGAAATCGGTGACTTCATCTGCTAACCATCTAAATCTTTTTTTTAAAATTAGAGTATAATTTAAATGGTAATTTATTATTTATTTTCTTTTTTTTTACAAGAAACATTTTTTGCTTAATGGGATAACAGAAATAGTGAACTTTAATAACTGTCAGGCTGATACAATAGGGCAATCTTTATACCTTACAATACCTGGCAAATGCACTATTTGATAGATCACATACAGGTGAATGAAGCAATGAGGAAGGGAAATACCTGTTTATCTTCCAAATACAATACAGCACAAGGAAGTTGAATAGTAAGTCAATGACAGCTCTGGCATTTGAAAGCTATTTTTAAATAGATTTTGTAATACCTAACACCCAGAGGTTTATTTAAATCTGATAATAGTATTGATGATTTGTGTTAGATAAACAATATGGATATGCAAATATTTAAATTCTAAAATTGTTACTCAATGTCTCTGCCCAAGGATAATCTTCAAACACATTAGAAATAATGGACTTGATCTCAATCTATTGTTTTATAACTATGTATGTGAGAGCTTAGGATTTCAAGTCCTACGCAACTAGACAGGCCTAAACATTGTTCACCAGTCCAAGCCCAGGGGTCCATGGCACATTCATTAGGTGAATGTCTACTCACCAGTGGCTATTGCACGTGGAGAAATTTTGAGCCCTGAAACATGTTAACCTCTGCTAACAGGCTATTCTAAGCAAATAAATGAGTATTTAAAAATTATGGACAATAGTCAAATTGTGTAGCCATCTAAAATCGATTTGCGTAGTTGGCAGTTTCTGTAGTGCCGTCTGCAGCTACCAAAAGTCATATGGTGCTCAGTTTTCTACTTATCTGTTGATAACTTTCAACTGTGATGAAATTAAAAAGTCTGCAAATTTGCCATTGTTTGTCATTTATGTCACAATGAAGGCATAACAGTCTCATAACGGTAAAATGATCCATGGTTACTAAAGTTAAAGAAAGTTTTAAGTTAATTATGATTTCTAACTTCAGAGGCATTAACAGCATAAAATGGTTAGGACATTTTTTTAGATTGTGATTATGTTGCTTACTGCACAAGAAGGAGAATACTCATTTGTTATCTCTCTTTCTCAGGCGCGCAGGTAGCGCTGTGGCAGAGCTTATAAAAAGCTTGGAGTTGCTGCGCCAACCAGAGGAGAGTGGGCCAGTCTATATGACATCATAACTCCACGTGATCTCCTTGGGCAGCCGACCATAATGCAGTGAGCTACTAAGAGGTCTGAACCTGCTGCCAGTTAACTGCAGTATACTAAAAAAGAAGAAAGAAGAAGTCCATACTTCCCTGACCACTAGACACCAGGGACTGCAGTGCCTCCACTCTCTCCCCCATTAGTGCCCATAAAGGAAAGAGGCAACTGCCTGTAGCTTTGTGAGCGTACAGTGTCAAGTTTTTGTGAGCGTAGAGATTAACATAGTCAAGTTTTTGTGAGCATACAGAGAATAACCTGTATACTGCAGTTTTTTTTTTTTAAATGGGACTATGGTGCATTTGGGGTTATTTTAGTAGCTCACACATTTAAATTACTCCATAAATGCATAGTATTTGCCATTGTGGACACCATGGGGACTTATTTTGAACTTTTTTTTTTACCATTTAGTTTTTTTCAAATTTTGAGATAATAAATGGACATTATAGTTACCAGAAAAACTACAGCTTATTGTATTTTTTCTGGTGAGTAGTATCATTCCCTTCAGGATTTTTGCAGTAAACACTGTCTTTTTTAGATTCATTAGTTGCACCAAGTGTGCTTTAGCTGAAACACTTGAAATACCTGAATTGGCTAGGGGTTTGTTGAGTGTCACATTTGACTGCATGCTATAAATAAGGCTAAGTCAAAAGAATCATCCACAAAGTTAAGAGAAAATTAAGTGTTTACATTAGAACCTAGTGATAACTCCACTGGCCACTCCTCAGTTAGCTACTAGAGGTGCTTCTAGGAGCAGTGCCGCCTAGTGTGCAGCCCTGCCATTCTGTGTCTCTACCCACTGCATGCAGACACCAAACTTTCTTCATAGAGATGCATCAATTTAATTCATTTCTATGAGGAGATACTGATTCACCGGGGCTGTGTTTGACCTGTGCTGGCTCTGCCCCAATCTGCCTCGTTGACAGTCTCAGCCAATCCTATGGGGAAGCATTGTGATTGACTCAGACCACTACTTCTGATGATGTCAGCAGACAGCAGGCAGGTCAGAGGCAGACAGGGGTAGAGGCAGCAGCTGCAGACTTGAATACAAGTAAGAATCTCATGTGTGTCACTGTAATTACATTACCTAAACTCTGCATCAACAATTACATTTATTTATAATTAATCCTAGACCAAATCCTAAACTCATCCCTAATCATAAAACTAAACCTAATCTAATGCTAAATAGACTTGTGCAAGGTGAAAATGTTGGTTCTCCCAAGCACTTCAGCAGAGAAAGCTCAGCCACTCTTGGTACTGCAAAATAAATTTAGGAAGGCCTTTCGGGAAGACAGAACAGCAGGAAAATATGGGAGTATGTCTGTGCTTAATGGTGGAACTACTGCTGGTGCAGCCAGTGCAGCCAGTGCAGCCAGTGCAACTGCATTAGGGTCCACATGCTTTGGGGGCTCATCGGGCAATCCATAAACAAAGGGCCATCCGATGGGTATTACTGCTAAACAGTCAGGTCGGACTGGACTGCATCCCAGTGTGTATGTTTAGGTATGTTTGTGCCAATGTGTATGTATAGGTATGTTTATCTGTGTGTTTTGGTGTGTATCTATGTGTGTATCTCTATGTGTCAGTGTGTATTTCTGTATGTGCCTCTGTGTTTATATATGTATGTATCTGTGTGTGCCAGTGTGTATCTATGTGTATGCCAGTGTGTATGCTTAGGTATGTGTATCTGTGTGTGTCAGTGTGTATCTGTGTGTTTGTCAGTGTCTGTGTCAGTGTGTGTGTATGTAGTGTAACAGAGTGTTGGGGATGGTGGTCAGGGGTGTATATCTGGCACCCAGACTTTTGCACAGCCACTATCCTGACATGTGGGTAAGCACATGCAGCCCCAGGGAAAGTTAAATTTAAATGTAGGTTTTTTCCTCTGTTGTCATTTGGGTCCCTGGGGTGGAGTATTCGGAAGAGCAGGGTGGGCCGATTCTCCACCCACTGTCAGAGTGGTTGTGCATGAGTCCAGCCCAGGTTTTCCATAGAGATCTGGCTCACTGCCTAACGAGGTCATTAGCCTCACCTGTAGGGGCTGTGAGCAGCTGTATAACTGCAGTTAAAGTAGTGTGAAGGGAGGGAAGTGTTTTGAGGAGAAAGAAGGTGTTTTGTGGAGAAAGAAGGTTTGCTGTTTATTGTATCCTGTTACTTCATAACAACAGAAAATAAACAGGCCAGAGGCCTTTTTGAAACTGGACTTTGTCTTCACCTGGTTTTCTTACCCTAGAGGGCTGTGCGGTTGCCAAAAGATCCGGGACAAACACATACAGGAAAGTAAGTTTGTCACAGTAGGTATATGTTTGTATTTGTGCTATTTTGTGTGCATGTGCCTGTGTAGGTATATGTTTGTATCTGTATGTGCCAGTGTGTGTGTGTATGTGTCTGTGCAGGTATATTTTTCTATCTATGTATGTCAGCGTGAGTACATGTGTGTATCTGTGTGTTAGTCTGTTTCTGTGTCACTGTGTGTAACCACATATGTGTATGTGTGCATGCATCCCAACATTCAAACATCAAAACTGCATACAAACACACTCCTACTATCAAATGGAAATGCTACATGCAAACACACCCTGCATTCAAACACACCACATTCGTACACCATTGCTATTAAGTAGCAACAGTACATATTGACAAACAACTGCATTCAAATGCCAACACTATAAACACACGCATACACTGCTGTGGAATATGTAGGCGTGGGGGGGTGCAAAATAATTACTTGCACCGGGGCCCTATCTGCATTTGTTCCGCCACTGTCTGTGCTGACATGCAAAAATAGCTACAAAAATTGTCATGCCTAATGTCTAAACAATATCAGATGTTTTTTCAATGCAATTCTAAGATTAGATTATTTTATTGATGGATTAAAATATATTTTAAAAAATAGATGAGAGAACTATGCTCTATAATTTATGATTTTAATTGTTTTCCTTTTGCTATCTTGTATTAGGCAGAAGAGAGATTAATTTAAGTTCAAAATAAGAAATTTAGCAGTGCTGCAAAGGGCTTGCCGGAAGACCCAATCAGATTCTCCTAAGACCCCATGGATCTCGCCTTGCTGGAGGATATCCCCAGTGATGTCAGAAATTACATCATTTGGACCGTAGCTGTACCCAGAAGTTCAGCCATTGTAATATTAAAGGACTGTACGCAGCTCTCATTTTAAGCACTGCATACAGCTAACTGGTCACCATTAATTATGTCCCCAGCTGACAGAAGAAGGCCCAGGTATCATTTATATTCTAGTTGTGATAACCAGCCTGTAGAGGACAGTATGTCTCTGCCAAAAGCCACTTGTCACTGATATAATGCATGTAACTGTACATATGCTTAAAATGTAAGGTAGCCCCCTGTTTTCTGTACAGGAAGTTCCAATGGGTCATATCAATCATACAGTCAAGAGGGGGAGCAGTGAATAGACTCTACCATTTCACTGTCAGCATCGCATGCATTAGCAGTCCAGAGATTGATAAAGATTTCTATAACAGTTTTAAATACCTTTTATTTAGAAATACAACTGTATTTTTTTAACTGTATTTACTATATATGGGCATTATGCACAAATGCAGACATTATTTTTGCATTCTGATGCCATTTTTAGTAAGCTGTACTGCAACTAACACCATGCAAATAACTGTAGGTAATCTATTTAACCCTGTTTGTTTATCTATTTTTGTGACGTGAACTGCACTTTTGATTTTATACTTACATTTCAATCCCTGTGTGAAATCCCTAAATAAAAGACACTGTATTTTCCAAATATTGTTTAATAAATGCTAATTAAATAAGTAACAAATACAAATTTGGTAATTGTTAACATAACTAATAAATGCTATGCTAATGATTTTTCTATCAAAAAAGTCCAAGAAGTGAAAGGGTTAAAGTTATACATGGTAGCACAGTGTTAGGCAAGTATTGTAGACTTGCTCTTAAAATTATAATGTTAGAGCCTTTCCAATAAATAGGTGCAGAAGGACTTCAAACTCTTACAAAAGCATGTTTTGCACATGGATTACATAGGGCGAAATGACTCTGAGGAATGCCAGCAGGGTTACTGCCTTGAGTGAAAAGCAAGGAATGTTGTTGTTGTTATAAAGAACTTTAAGGAAATTTAAAGTGCTACTAACAACAGCTTGAAAGTGAAACCCCCACAGGTGCTAAATTCCACTATCACAATGAACTGCTCTCTTCCATGTCACTGAAACTAAGGGATGTATCTAACACTTTCTTTTTTTAACCCCTTAAGGACTGGACTGTTTTTGCGATGTTGTACATTTGCGACCAGGAATATTTTTACACTTTTGTGGTGTTTGTGTTTGGCTGTAATTTTCCGCTTTCTCATTTACTGTTCCCATACAAATTATATATTGTTTTTTTCAGGACAAAATGGGCTTTCTTTACATACCATTATTTATATAATCTCATGTATTTTAATTTTAAAAAAATACAAAAATCTGATGAAAAATTGAAAAAAATACATGTTTTTTGACTTTTACTTGAAAAATCTTTTACTCATCTACAAAAGCGAATGAAAAAAACTGCTAAATAGATTCAAAATTTTGTCCTGAGTTTAAAAATACCTAGTGTTTACGTGCTTTTTTGCTTTTTTTTGCATGTTATAGGGCTATAGGTACAAGTAGGATATTGCGGTTTCAAAACATACATTTTAAAAATTTATCAATAGTGACATTGTAACACTATTATCTGTCATAAATCTCTGAATAACACCCCACATGTACATATTTTTTTTAAAGTAGACAACCCAGGGTATTCAATATGGGGTATGTCCAGTCTTTTTTAGTAGCCACTTAGTCGAAAACACTGGCCAAAGTAAGCATTCATATTTGTTTGTGTGTGAAAAAAGTAAAAAAACTAAATTGAACGCTAATTTTGGCCAGTGTTTGTGACCAAGTGGTTACTAAAAAAGACTGGACATACCCCATTTGCAATACCTTGGGTTGTCTTCTTTTGCAAATGGTATGCCATCATGGGGGTAATTCTCATTCCTGGGCTACCATACGCTCTCAAAGGCAACGTAACCAACCTGGCCATTTTCAATGTAAAAATATTTGACCCATATATTTGACCTTGTAACTTTCAAAAATGCTATAAAACCTGTACATGGGGGGTACTGTTTTACTCGGGAGACATCGCTGAACACAAATATTAGTGTTTAAAAACTGGAAAACGTATCACAACAATTATATCATCAGTAAAAGTGCTGTTTGTGTGTGAAAAATGCAAAAAAAGTAACTTTCACTGACAATATCATCGCTGTGATATGTTTTACTGTTTTGAATCACTAATATTTGTGTTCAGCGAAGTCTCCCGAGTAAAACAGTACCCCCCATGTACAGGTTTTAGGGTGTCGTAGAACGTTACAGGGTAAAATACAGTGCTAGCAAATTAAATTCTCTGGAATTTCGGCCTGGGTTGGCAGGCAGGTCCCTCAAATTGCAATCAATAAAATTACTGAATTATGTAAAAATATTACATAAATACGCACGTAGAATTTAAATATATATGCATATTTATATATTTGAAGTCTACGTGTATATTTATATAATTATTTATGTAATTTTGTATATGGACGTATGTATATTTCTTATTATTTTTATTTATTTTTATATACATAGATATATATACAAATTCATTCTAAGTGTATTTTGATATAAATATATATATATTAATTTTAAAATACAGTTAGAATAAAATTTCATATAGCTATATAATTTTTTTTAAATTTTTATTATTATTTAAAAAAAAATGATTTAATTTAAATTACTTATTATTTATATTTTATAATAATATATATATACAATATATATAGTTATTATATATATTATATATATACGTGTGTAATTTAATTATAAGTGTATTTTTATATTAATATAAGTACATATTAATATAAAAATACACTTAGTATGGCATTATATATATGATATATAGACATATATTATATAGATATAATATATGTCTATATATCATATTTATACATATATAATTATTATTATTTTTTTTATTACCATTAACTTTATTTTTTTTTTGATTTTACAGTTGCAGGGAGACTGCCTGTCAGCACAGGCAGTCCCCCTGCAGGCAGCACTATGGACACCTATTGTGACCATGTGATCGCTGTGTTAAGCGATCACATGGCCACAGGGGTCCTAATCAGTGTGGGGAGACTGTCTGGGCTGCAGGCAGTCTCCCCACAACCGGAGGAACACTGATCGCCGCCGGGGGAACGACGGCGATCAGGTAAGTAGCCCCAGACCGTTTGGACGGTTCAGGACCGTCATCGGTCGGCAAGGCAAAAATGCCGATGACGGTCCTGAACTGTCCTCGGTCCTTAAGGGGTTAAATAAAAAGTATTGCCCATTGGATCCTAATAGATCTAGGGGAGTCCTGTCGTATGACCTCTGATCTTTCTTCACTCTGTGTGTGGGGGTGTAGGGGCTTGATCTATAGAGTATTATTGAGTGTGTAGAAAGGTTAAAAAATTTAAATCTCTTTAGTTTGGAAAAACAGCGCCTGAGAGGGGATATGATAAAACTATACAAATATATTCGGAGCCAGTACAAACCATTACCTGGAAATCTATTCACAAACAGGGCTATACATGGAACACAATGTCACACATTTAGGCTGGAAGAAAGGAGATTTCCTCTAAGGCAAAGAAAAGTTGTTGTTTTTTACAGTAAGAGCAATAAGGATTTGTAATTCTCTGCCTGAAGAGGTGGTTTTGTCAGTCCATACAGATGTTCAAACTGCAATTGGATAAATACTTCCAAAAATATAACATACAGGTATATAATTTCTAATTAGAGGGGTAATAGCTGCTTGATCCACTGAGACATCTGACTGCTATTTTGGGGTTAACAAGGAATTATTTCCTAGTTTGTTGCAAAATTGGAAGCGCTTCAGACTGGGTTCTTTTGGATCAACAGCAAAAACATATGTGAGGAAGGCTGAACTTGATGGACGCAAGTCTCTTTTCAGCTATGTAACTATGTAACAATGTAACTATGTGTAACTAGCTGCTTCGCCACTATTTACATATGGTTTGTGTTTTTTACTTTCATGATGCAGATGTGAAACAAATGCAAGTTGTGTGTTGAAAACACAGAAAAAATGTATTGTTACTATAGGTGAAAAATACTTACTCAAATTGGTTTCTAAGCCCATTTATTGTAGTCTAAAGACACATTGCTGTCAGTTTTATTGCTGTGGAGGTCTGTAATATGGCTCAAACACACGGAGCCACTAGAAAATGCGACATTAAGATAGAAAAGTGGAATAAAAGAATAGGACTGTACCTCCTACGTAGTGACGCTTGGAAGGTACATTGAATAGGTGGGATATTGGACTAATCCATATGAAATACAGACACAACAAATCAGTCTGTTCATAGTCCACATCTGAAAACTAAACTTTGAAGAATCCATCATTTAGCCCTGTAACTTTATCACTGTACTTGCTGAAGCTGAATACAGTGGTTATTTATAACTTTTCTGTTATACTTACTTGCTGAAGCTGAATACAGTGGTTATTTATCTGGTTCTGTTATACTTAAAGGACCACTCTAGGCACCCAGACCACTTCAGCTTTATGAAGTGGTCTGGGTGCCAGGTACCTCTAGGATTAACCCTTTTTTTTATAAACATAGCAGTTTCAGAGAAACTGCTATGTTTACACTGTGGGTTAATCCAGCCTCCAGAGCCTCTAGTGGCTGTCTCATTGACAGCCGCTAGAGGCACTTGCGTGCTTCTCACTGTGATTTTCACAGTGAGAGCACGCCAGCGTCCATAGGAAAGCATTGTAAATGCTTTCCTATGCGACCGGCTGAATGCGAGCGGCTCCTGCCGCGCATGAGCATTCAGCCGATGACGTCGCGAGCAAGGAGGAGAGGAGGAATACAGCACACCCATTTTACAAAATATTACCAAAAATCTATAAAATGGCTTTATATCAGGTGTAGAGACGATCCTGTTTAATACTCAGGAATGCATTATAACATATATCAGGAAACCAGGAGACCACTGCCTAACCACATTCATCTGAGACAAAATGAATAAAGTGGTAATGGTACCAGGATTCCCCTGGATCATATGGTAAGATGTCAAACATTTTTAGAATGACTTGACACTTAAATGGCGCCCATGGTCCTTCCAGACTCTTTTGATTTTGCTACAAGTAATATTAGTTTTGTGTAACATTTCACATTATTTGTTAACCAGTCAATTAATAAATCTGACACCATGAACACTGCAGCAGGCTGTAGTTATGATGATTAAAATGTCCTTTTAAATATCTTGATGTTCTTGTTATAGTTTAAGCATGCGTGGGATTGGCATAAGGCTGTCCTAGCTATAAGATAAGGCCAGGAATTAATGAAAGTATTTAGAAAATTGGGCAGACTAGATGGGCCGCATGGTTCTTATCTGCCTTCACATTTTATGTTGCTATGTTTCTATAAAGTGACAATGATATTAATAATACACCAATAGTACTATTAATAAAATTATAAAAATTGAAAAAGGGTAACATTGCTTAACTGCTTCAGGTTAAAATATATTTAATTTTGGATGAATTTTTTTTTTCAATAAAGAGCTTTCTTTTTCTAATAATGAGCTATTTGTTAAGTACCTAGTGGTGAAAGAGTTAACTTTACTTGTGGATTTAAATGGTCAAGTTCGTGGTAAATACACTATAGTAGTTTTATAGCTGTATTCATACATTTGCTGTTACTGTATCCTTTATTAGAGAGGTATTCTATTGGCACATCTTCAAAACATTGTCAGAGAACACAAGAGTTCCAAAAAGGATCTTCTAACCAATCAGAGAAACGCTGGGGAGAGAAGTGAAGTAAATAGGTGAAAAGGTGAAAGGATAACCCTTGATAGAGGGGTTATGAATCCATTCCAGGTCAGAAACAGTTAAACTTTCTATCAGTGGAAACACATCCAGATATTTTGGATAATGATAGTGCTGGCTCTGTCATTAACACAGTTATTTTGCTTCGAGCTATGTGCATTTAACCATTAATTCTCATCATTTTAGACATTGCATGGGAATAAGAGGTAAACACACGCTTCTTCAATACTAGTCCAGGGAGCTGAGCCATTGCTGGGGGCTGGCAAACCGCATTGTATAAGTAGTTACCCAAAAAGTGATCCAGGCACTCTGTTACACTGATCTTCATTAAATCTGAATCTCTCTAAAACTTTGAGTGTCTGGATCAGTTGTTGGCTCATTATTTTAGACATGGCTTCTTTGATTTGTATAAACTGAAACTATGAACTGTAACAGGTAACTTTCCCATAAGTGGATTGGGTGACAACAATTCCCAGTATCCTCGAGATTGATCATAAGCATTCTACCCCTGAAAAAGCACTTACTAGCTTTTACTGGCATGCCCCATGCCCAGCCCCAAGAGATAGCACAGGTCGCAAAAATAACCTGCATTTTGTCTGCTTACCTGGTTAAGGGCAGAAGCTCCCCAATTCTCCCCACGTTTCTCACAGACATCCATTATGTCGGTCACATTGGCCAAACTTATATTCCCATTGAGTCCATATTGCTCCAGCACAGCCTCAGTGAAGAATCTTTCTGCGTTCTCGATATCCTGGCAGTCAACTGCACGAGGCTGAAGCCACACGGCTACCAGCAGAGCACAGGTGAGCCTGGCAGCAACAATGTATCCCAGGCAGCTCATACTGGAGGAATGTCCCTGCAATGGTGCTCTGCAGATCTTATACTAAACCTATAGTAATAGCTGCACTCTTTGGCACTTGTGTGACTAATGTGTCCCGAGGGCTGGAAGGACTGGTTGCTGAACACACAAAGTCCTCTCTGCCAAATGGAATTAAAATGCACAGCACAGGGGAAGTATCCAGTGGTGAACCTGAATTAACGCTGGATATTTCACTGTGCCTCTTACTGTAAGGCAGCACTAGGACTGCCAAATGACAATGCACTCCCTGTTGGTATCTCTTCTCTTCCACGTGGTCTCTGTTGTTTAATGATGGAACTGTGTTCCTCAGAGCCTGGAAGAGATAAGAAAACAGATAACACTTTGTGTTTAAACTTTTCCTAAACTGCATTGTGTTGCATCTTTTTGAGATATTTACTTACAATGAGCAAGGAAGAGTGTTACAGTAGACAAAATGCATGTGACAAAATGCATGTGACAAAATGTGTTACAGTAGACAAAATGTGTTACAGTAGACAAAATGCATGCGAACGTGGGGCACTCATTGTCTACATATAAAAAGGGAAAAACTATAAAGTGGCTACTTGACACTGAATGGTTTAATTCTAGTTTTAAAAAAAGAACATCGGTTTCCAATCGCATGCCAAAATCCCTCTTGCGCTGTGAACTAGTTCTAATTTCTCCTTATTATATTTCCCTACTTTCAGTATTCCTCTTGAGAAGCTGGCATGGTGTCACCTGTAAAGTGGAGCAGGCCAAATCTTAGCTGATCTCAAGTCTTCAAATGGCTCATTATTGTAAAAACCCTGCAATGTGAAGATAGTGTATTTTTTTTTTTTACTTTTCTTAATTAAAGGAACACTCACTGCCCAAATACAAAAAATACAAATATAAAAATTAACAAATATAAATCGCTGTTATGTAGACTTACCCCATTGAAACCATGTATGAATTTAATTATGCATTTTTTTTTTAATTGAGGCAAATAGAAAGAAAATGCTACACATCCAAACTGAAGTCTTTGCAAGCCCTCCTATTCTAACACTGCCTAGATTTTCTGCAGCTGTCCAATCACAATGCCTTTCAGTGAGAAGTCTTTGCAAGGCAGGTGCTCTGAGCAATTGTTGCCTCTTTAGCTTAGCTTTACTGAGCTAAACAAATCAGGAAGTAACAGAACTTGTTGTCAGACATGCGGTGTAACAAAGTTAATTTATAAAAGTGACAATTTCTATTGACATGTTTTGTAAAATGAAAAAAAAGCGGACACACTTTAGGAAGATGTCCCTGTCCCTAGTAATTTTGGTCCAGCTATGTGTAACAACAAATTAATTATAATGCAGCATTGCATCAATGCTTTCCTGTGGGGGGCTGCAACATGACTGAGTTTTAGTCGGACGTTGCAGCTGAAGCCCCTCAAGTTGCTGTCATACATCCAAGGTTTGTTTAACCTTTCAAAATAAAATCGGTGCTTCTGCAAAATGGCAATATTTTACTTTGAAGTGTTAAAATGGCAAGATCACGGAACCCGGGCCACTGCATTGAGTGGTCTTTTAAATAAACAGTATGTTAAATACCAACTTGAAAAGTGTTGACCAAAATAGCAGCAACAAAAATAAAAACATAAATTTTGCTTAACCCTAAAGAGTTAACAAATTAAAAGGAAGCACAAAACTCAAAAACATCAGCAGGTGCTGGCTAAAAATCAGTGATACCTCATATGATTGTGAATTCCCTCAGTTTACATTAAAAGGACACTATAGTCACCAGAACAACTACAGCTTAATGTAGTTGTTCTGGTGAGTATAATAGCTCACTTCAGGTATTTTCATGTAAACACTGACTTGTCGGAGAAAAGGCAGTGTTTACATTGCCCCTAGGGACACCTCCAAGTGGCCACTCCAAGTGGCTTCCTGGCTCAGTGCTGCACAGTAAGCAGCCCTGCCATTCAGCGTCTCCACGCTCTGCATGGGGACGCTGAATTTTCCTCATAGAGATGCATTGATTCAATGCATCTCTATGAGGAGTTGCTGATTGGCCAAAATAGTGTTTGGTCCCTATGGGAAAGCATTGGTTTGGTTAAAAATCAGCAATTTTGATAATGTCACCAAGGGGGCGGGGCCAGCTCCGGCAGACCCGTGGAGAGCTGAAAATAAGGTGAGTTTTAACCCATTCTGAGAGGGCTAAGAGGGGTTGGGGGGGGCAAGTCACCTAAATGGTGGGTTTTCACTATAGGGTCAGGAATACATGTTTGTGTTCCTGACCCTATAGTGATCCTTTAAGGCCTTGTTGGGCCAATCCTTATCCTGTAAATTCTCACCTAGATAAAGTAGAGAAACATATAATAGTAGTGAGAAGCAACAATGTATTGATTTCAGATTAACAGGATGAAAGGCACTTTCTATACATTTGCTGTTTCTCTAATGTTGTTATACTGCAGCCCTGTGTGACCTCTGTGCTTGAGCCCATGAGTGAATTACTTTTTGACCTTTATGTTGTAATATTGTTCACTGAAATTAATACATTGTTGCTTTTCCCTACTGTTTTTGGAATTTACAGACTACTTCTCCCTAGGGCAGAGGTAGGCAACCTTTTAGTAGAACTGTGTCAAAACAAGATCTGGAAGTCCCTTCGTGTGCTGGTTCTACTTTTTTTTAAAATGAGGTGCATATGTTGCTGTATTGTACTTGTGTTATTTATAGGTGGGGCGATTGCTTTGTTACATTGTATTTGTGTGTATGTGGGCTGTTATATTGTATAGGTTCATGAGTAGTTTGTGCTAATGTATATGATACCTAGGAATGCCGGCTGTGTATGTGGGCTGCTTGTGGAATTGTGTGTCTAGATGATATGTCACATTGTGTGTTTGTTGGTTTGTGTATGTGTGGGGCTACTTGTGGTATTGCATGTGAGAGGCTGCTTGTGGGGTTGTGTGAGTGTATGTGGCTTGTCAGTGGTGTTGTAGGGACTACCTGTGCAGCTCTATGTATATCTAGCAGTGTTCCTTATTAAGAGATAGGGATTAAGGGTTAATAAATGTATAGGGGTGTATATAAAAAAAAAATACCCCATTCTGTCTCATTAGAGTTGTCTTTGCCAGAGGCTCAAGGAAGCAAGGTGAATGGTTAGAGTTAGGACTCACCTGGGGGAGGGGGGAGTCTGCCTTGACATTGGCAGGTGGGCTTACCCTCTCATGGCCATTGGAGGTAACTAAAAACCTCCATTTGTTTAAAAATACATAGAGATTAAGGAGAGAGCACAGGTAACTTGTTTTTCTTTGATATCTAGCAGTGTGGTTGGCCTTCCTGGGGTGCAGTGGGGACCAGACTGGCAAGGTACAGATCAAAAGCAGGAGCTGCGATAGCTGCTGCGGGCTGCTCTATACCAATACAGATTCTCACTAACAAGTGCGGGGAGGAAGTGATCATAGATCACTTCCTATAAATGCTGCAATACATAAATTGAGGATTGCCCATCACCACCTGCAATCACTGCTCGATTTGCACTAGCAGATAGTCCCGCTAGGATTCCTGATAGGCCACACCCTGTTTGGATCTGGCAACTTTGAGTGCTGTGCCATAGGTGACTGACCCCTGCCCTAGGGTGTCAATGCTCAGCTATTAGAACCTGTATATTTGATTCAGCAGCAGATATTTGTAATTCATTTTTTTATTATCTATCATATCTCTCCCTGTGGCTTATCTTTTTATTGTGTTTCGTTATTGAGAGCACAAATCACAGCAGATAATTCTATGTAGTAAATTTTGTGTAAATCTTGTGTGTATAGCACATTGTTTTACGTAGCCTACTACATTTAAATAAAATACAGAAATTAGACATTCAAAACAAGGATGAAGAGTCCACAAAGTTGGGTATATTTCCATAACATGATTTGCAAGTATTCTATAATTTTTTATAATTTACAAAAATATTTTTTTCTAATGTATCCCAATTTTATAATCTTGCAGAAATAGTATTGTATGATAAACACATTTAAATATATCTGTCTAGATTGCTTTTACATTTCAAAATGAAATCTAACTATAGGTGTAGAACTAAGGCTGACTTTGAAAAGTCAACCAAAGGTTTCGTTATTATTCAAATAACTGCATTGAATTGAAATCTGAATTGCAGAATTTAGGCTAAAATTTACAAGTTGTAATTATAGATGATTTGGGGAAATGCCTTAAATCAGCATTTTTTGCAAACATTTGACAAATATGGAGGTTATTCTGTAAAGTGTCAATTATTGGGAATACAGTCAATTCAAACAAGGTCATTCACTGAGGTGTGTACTTTCAGGAATGCAAAGTGAACGCAAAGTTAATTTTCAAATTTTCAAAAATATCCAAAGTATAAACATATATAGCTGACTTTTAATTTTAATTCTCCTTCAGTTTACAATTCATTTCTGACAGTTCACACTTAAGTTGTGTGCAAAATAAATAGTCAAATGCACACTCTAAAAAAGGAGGGAAAACCTCTTGCAGGGCGCTCCAGAAAGGGAGGGCCAATCCCTGAAGAATTCAAAAAGAATTTTTTTTTATCAAGGCAGACCTGAGGTTTCTTCTAAAAGGCAGTCTTTTTTATATGTAACAAGGAAGTGGAGACAATGTTTCAGTTCCTTTGGTGTGCTTGGATGTTTCTTTTTTCCAATTATAATATATACAAGCAGGGAGAATGTGTGAGGTTGCTCGTAAATGTGGTGGGGGTGGGTGGGGTAACCCCCATAAATAAGGATAGGAATACTGGGATACACCTGGAAGAGCCAGCACTTTTCGAAATGCACATCAGGACTTCTGTTGCGATGGTTAGGCATTCAGACAAGGGATGAAACTGCAGTTGCCTTTACAAATACAGACAAGCCTCCACGCTAGAATTTTATTATTAGATCAATTTATTTGATTGTTCATCTGCACTCTTTTTATTGTGTTGCTGGAGGTTGTGGGATTAGGGTTTTGCTTTTCATACAAGTTTACTCAGGATATGTGGGAGGGTGCTTAAGGTTTAGATTTTTATAAGGGGTGCCCTCGAAGGCACATTTGGGCTTATCCTCCTTTGGACTAGATATTAGTCTTTCCTTTGCTCCTATCCACCTCCTCCATAGTTAACTCATTAGTTACTATCTACAGGTTTTTCCTTACCCCTTTTTGGTTTCCCTTTTCTCTCTCCCCTCCCCCCTCCACCCTACCTATTTTTTGCTCACAGAAACATTTAGGATTAAGCTTGTGTATTAACGTAGGCTAGCACTATTAGGATTTAATAATTGGACTTTCCCATATACTTTGGGATTTTAGGTTAACACATTAAAAGTTATGTTTTATTACTACCTGACTTAAGGGTTGCCCTCCTAAATTCAGGGGGTAGACTCGTGAGTGCTATATTGTCTTTACCCTCGAGTCTCCCCCTGATTCAACAGTATTCCTTTCTTTTTTTCCAACACTATAGTCACCAGAACAACTACAGCTTAATGTATTTGTTCTGGTGAGTATAATCATTGCCTTCAGGCATTTTTATGCAAACACTGCCTTTTCAGAGACACTTCCAAGTGGCCACTCCTCAGATGGCCACTGGAGGGGCTTCCTGGCTACACAGTAAGCAGCCCTGCCATTCAGCGTCCCCATGCTCTGCATGGAGACGCTGCATTAATTCAATGCATTTCTATGAGGAGGTCCTGATTGGCAAAAATGGCATTTGGCCCCGCCCGTGCCAATTTTAGCCAATCCAATGCTTTCCCTATGGGAAACAGAAATTTTGTACATAAAAATAAAATAACAAGCTTGGAAAATAGCAGAGTTACAGATATTCTTCAATCTGACAAAAAATGGTATACAAACACTGTATCCTTGCTATTTCTCAACAATTTCCAATTTAACTGAAAAATAACAACAGTATATGAGATATAGACTCATACCAGGCCATTTACTAATCTGGGAATTTTGATCAAAATAGTTAAATAAAAAAAATATATAAAAAACCAGGGCCTCAATTTAATATGTTTTAATAAGCTTTTCAAACTATCTTAATCTGTTTATTTATTTTTGCATTTTTCTTGTATGCTTACTCTTTTTGTTAGAATGTATGTAGCTTATGTTAGGTATGAAAGTAGAAATGAAGCAATCAATCAGCGGCATTGAATCATAATAATATATGATAAATTATACATATGTAATCATAGAGGTTATATAAAACTTCCAAAAAATTACTGCACAATTTTGTTCTACATTGAAATAAATCAATAAAACTTATATTTAAACAAAAAAAAATCTTAATCTGTTAAAAAATATATATTTTTAAATGATTTACCTACAAAACATTCCTATTCAATGATGACTTCTATAGACTAATCATTTGAAAGTTTTTCTAACACTTTGTGATCATTTGAAAAGCCTATTTTTTTAGATTGAGGTCTTAGTTATTAACCATTTTTCTGTTCTGTTGGCCGAAAGTTTCTTATTTTTTGATTAGTTGCCAATAATTACCGGTTTAGTGAACAACTTGGATAGGAGAAAGGGCTATAATTACCTTGGTTTAAAACCATATCAAGGCATGAGCTAAACATTGAATATACCAAGTGGGTTAAAATAAAAGGCCAAAATAACAATCTGAAATAATTAGCTGAGAATATTTGAAATATAAATATTTATGCCTCAAATTAGAAGTGCTCTCTTACGTTCCCAACAATTACCTGTTAAGTGAATAATCCTGCATATGATGAACTATATCTAGGAATACTTTGAAAAAAAAGTGTAAGGAATTTCCTGTCCCATTTTGATCTAACAGTTTAACACTTATCTGGCTACCCCAGATATCACCAGCACAGCATCTTCTTCAGAAATTACTGATGTGAAGGTCCCTACTTCCACATGGGTGGCATCAATTCTGCCCAACTCTAGAAAGAATTAATTGGCTGAGAGTGCCAGTAGATTCTTTTCAAATGGGGAAGACATTGATATATCTAATTTGGAAGAGGAAATTCCACTTTAGATGTAACTGAAAAGAAGGCTGATCTAGAGGCACCAAAGATATCCAGGCAGGAGTCAAGTAGCCAGGAAACTCTTGGCACCATAAGAATTACAGCAGGATCTAGTGGTAATGATCCTTAAAGTGTCCTTTAAAATGGTAGGTTCAAACTTTACTCTGGTTATTCTAAGACTAGATATAGAAAAGTATGGATGTGTGAACTATGTAATCCGTAAATAAGGCCTTGCTTTTAAAGTATAAACCTGTAAACGTGTCTGTCTGTCTGTCTGTCTGTGTGTGTGTGTGTGTGTGTGTGTATCTGTGCATGCATGTGTGTGCATGTTGTCTCACCTCCTTCTTTGTCTCTGCTGCTATGTCAGTGAGGGTGTCCAGCTAAATAAAGGAACAAGGTTGGTCACATGGCTGTTGAATGTTTTACATAGTACCATGTATATCCCATAAAAGTACCAGTAAAGAAAAAGAATGTTTGCTGACATATGTATTACAGTATATTTTATACCTCTCATACCATGTTTTTAAAGGATGTGGCAAGAATTACCCTAAAGCCTTACCTGATTACTTCTACCGTGCTCAGCACATTTTTAAGGCCATCTCAGTTTGGTTTCTCTTGTTTCATCAAGTTAGATTATAACCGCAATTTTACTAGTTTGTAAAATCAGAGCAAGGGTTAACCAGCAGTCAGGTATCAAAAAAAAAGCATTTCATGCACTTTCTCAGTTCCTGTTCATGCCTGCTTACACAGCTGAGTATCTCTGTTTGGCTGCTGTATGCACGATTAAATTGCGATTTGGAAGCTGGACACTGAGTTTCCGCTCACAATCTCTCAGTCCAGAGAAATACGGGGCACACAGACAAACACACAGTGAGTTACTGCTGTAGAGGGCTTTTCAATGAAATATCAATGATTACATTTGCAGCAGAAAAACACAAAGTTAAAAAAGAATAGGTCAGCAAAGGAAAGTGTGAGTGTGTTAAGCCATATTATATAGCATGTATATATCTTAAGATGGTGGACATATACAAATGAAAATATTTTAGGTACAAATATTTGGCTGCATTGTATGAGCAAAAATTTAATTAAGTGCCAAGATTAATATGTGTTGGCCATTTCTATACTGGTAAAGCACTGCGAAATATTTTAGTGCCAAATAAGTGATTACAATAAAATAGTAACTTTAAATTAAAATAACGGGGGGTGTGGTCTGATGCTGGACAGAGATGGCCACTTGATTCTGTGGCTCTGTCACCAGCTGCCCTAATTACGCTACACATAGCACTTCGTGGCATCCGTGGACCGAACTAAAAAAAAAAGCCTAAATGACTCCCTCGACCCCCAGAACCCAAGGGGAGCCCTCATCTGCATCTATTCAGAGTTACCTTCACACTCCAGCAGTCTTGGCATCATGCCTCGAGGCCTCAAATATGGTGCCAGCCTCTCCGGGCTCAACAGTGTCAGAGGAAGGATGGACGCCAGAGCTGGACAGGTCGCAACCTCCTACCCCTGACTTGTTCACACTATTTGCCTCGCTACCCAAAAAGGAGGACTTCCAAAAGCAGGTGGACAAAGTCAAGGTAACCATGCACACGGAGATCTCCTCCGTACGCACCACCCTTGCCCTGGAGACAAGAGTAACCACCCTGGAAGAGAGACCCCAGCACATGGGGCCCTGACCCAGCTATTATCCACCAACACACGGCACAGATAGTCAACATGAGGCTACACATTGATGATCTTGACAATAGGAGCCACAGGCACAACATCCGCATGCGGGGCCGGCGGGAGACTTCAGACCAAGAGAATCTTCATGCGCAACTTACCCGCCTATTCAGTATGATTCTAGGCAGACCCCCTGATGCCCAGGTAACAATGGATAGGGCACACAGAGCGCTGCGCCTGCGACCACCTCCCTCTACACCACCTAGGGACATCATCTGTAAAGTACAGGACTTCCAGCTGAAAATGGAGATCATGATGAAAGCGTGGACAGAGAGGTCCTGGAGATTTGAGGGCCAAAACTTGGAACTGTACAATGATTTTTCTCACTTAACACTGCAAACTAGGAGGGCACTAAGGCCTGTCACAATGGCGCTGCAGCGGGAACAGATTAGTTACAGATGGATGTTTCCTTTTGCCCAGTCAGCTAGCAGAGGGAACATGGAAGCAACTATCCGCACCCATGAAGATGTCCCAGCATTCACAGAATCACTTGGTCTACCTCCCATCCAGGTACCAGATCGGATTACTTGCCCTTTAAACGAGAGGAACATGGGCCGGCCAGTTAGCCCAGATACCTGGCAGAACGTGATCCTGGGTTAGGCATTGCTCCGCTACCACAAGCTAGGCCGGAAGAATAAGCACAGCAAAGAGAAGAGCTCATTCAGGGACACAACGCTTTGACAGACAAAGTGAGGCACATCACAACCTGGTGAAGGGACAATGCACCGAAGTTTGGTTTGTACAACAAACACTGACTTTGGCTTATAACTTTTACATTTTTCCCCCATCTTACTTTACATTTTTAATATTTAATTGTTATATATTTTTTTTTATATTTTTCCTCCCCCTGTTTTTTCTGCTCCTAAACGTTACTGAGAGGATACATCTTACACACACACACCTATAGCCGCTGCAAGTTATGTATACCACTATTCTACTGATACAAATGGCGTTAAATGTATACTTAAAGTACTATGGCTCTCCTTCTCTCCTCCTGCTTTCTCCTTCACATTTTTCTCTGTATTCTGTCTTTCTTTCTCTACAGTCTCGCTCTTTCCTCTACCTATCTCAGCATGTCGGTCTACCACACACCAGGGTGGGAGCATTCCCATTTTCTGCCGGGTGCAAAGTACTTGCCTTATGGCAATATATGCTAAAGAAGTCTCCTTACACACAGCACCTACGACACTTATGTAATGACAAACTAGGGGTTATTACAGTCCTCCCTGTAGATAAACTTCCTGATGTAAAATGGCTCATATGTTACTGCTTTACAATAAAACCTTAAATAACTAAATTAAAATAATGGTCGTTGTTCACTGTTTGTAAACATTGTAAGTGAAGTGTGATCAGGGGCCAACTGGACATGATAAAAGGGGACAAAAATCAAGAAAACTGCCGTCAGAGAGAAGTGTAGGAATTCTGGCTTTTCCCACCTGGTTTTGTCAATATGGTTTGGTTTTGGTGTTGTGGTTGTGTGTGTTTTTGTTTTTGTCACCGCTTGCGGTATTCTTGGTCAGCACAGTTACAGTGGAAGAAAGTGCCAAGTCGGCTTGTGGAGTCTTAGTATGCTAAGAGTTGATGGTGGTAGGCAGGCTGCTCTGGACTCTTGGATTCCTGGATAGAGCTGTCTGTTGGAGAAGCACCACAACAGCTGACAGGTTATGTTTGCTGCTGTTTTGTGTTTTATTAAATAAAGCTGTGGCTGTTTCCCTTATCCAACATATCCAAGTCTCTTCTGGTTATCGGGCAATGAGGGGAATGGGTATTTGGGTCAGCAGTCATGTCTATTTTGAACAAATGTTAAAGAATAAAAGATCATAATGGAGAAGTTAACGTATGTCAGAGTTAATTACAAAAACTTTATATCAATCAAATAACATCAATTCCCTATCAGAGGCATAAAAGGTAATCCATTTAAATATCTAGGTGTAACTGCCATGTGTACACTAACCATTACAAATCTATACATTGTGTTAAAAATTGCTAACAGATTAGAAATTTCCTTAAAAATCTGCTTACATTTAATGTTCCTTCTTATTTGTCATTCATGTGTGGCATATGGCTGGCATAGTCTTCTACATTGAGAATTGAGTAACAGAAGAGAGTAACATAGAAACATAGAATGTGACGGCAGATAAGACGGCCCATCTAGTCTGCCCAATTTTCTAAATTCTTTCATTAGTCCCTGGCTTTATCTTATAGTTAGGATAGCCTTATGCCTATCCAACGCATGCTTAAACTCCTTTACTGTGTTAACCTCTACCACTTCAGGTGGAAGGCTATTCCATGCATCCACTACCCTCTCAGTAAAGTAATACTTCCTGATATTATTTTTAATCCTTTGTCCCTCTAATGTAAGACTATGTCCTCTTGTTGTGGTAGTTTTTCTTATTTTAGATATAGTTTCCTCCTTTACTGTGTTGATTCTCTTTATGTATTTAAATGTTTCTATCATATCCCCCCTGTCTCGTCTTTCCTCCAAGCTATACATGTTAAGATCCTTTAACCTTTCCTGGTACGTTTTATCCCACAATCCATGAACCAGTTTAGTAGCCCTTCTCTGAACTCTCTCTAAGGTATCAATATCCTTCTGAAGATACGGTCTCCAGTATTGTGTACAATACTCCAAGTGAGGTCTCACCAGTGTTCTGTGCAATGGCATGAGCACTTCCCTCTTTCTACTGCTAATACCTCTCCCTATACAACCAAGCATTCTGCTAGCATTTCCTGCTGCTCTATTACATTGTCTGTCTACCTTTAAGTCATCAGAAATAATCACCCCTAAATCCCTTTCCTCAGATGTTGAGGTTAGGACTCTATCAAATATTCTGTACTCTGCCCTTGGGTTTTTATGTCCAAGATGCATTATCTTGCACTTATCCACATTAAATGTCAGTTGCCACAATTCTGACAATTTTTCTAGTTTACCTAAATCATTTGCCATTTGGCTTATCCCTCCTGGAACATCAACCCTGTTACATATCTTAGTATCATCAGCAAAAAGACATACCTTACCATCAAGACCTTCTGCAAAATCACTAATAAAAATATTAAAGAGTCCAAGTACAGATCCCTGAGGTACCCCACTGGTGACAAGTCCAAGCTTCGAATATATTCCATTGACTAAAACCCTCTGTTGCCTGTCACTCAGCCACTGCCTTACCCATTCAACAATATTGGAATCCAAACTTAAAGATTGCAGTTTATTGATAAGCCTTCTATGGGCAACAGTGTCAAAAGCCTTACTGAAATCTAGGTAATCAATGTCTACTGCACCACCCTGATCTATAATTTTAGTTACCCAATCAAAAAAATCAATAAGATTAGTTTGGCATGATCTCCCTGAAGTAAACCCATGTTGTCTCTGATCTTGAAATCCATGTGTTTTTAGATGTTCAACAATCCTATCCTTTAACATGGTTTCCATCACTTTCCCCACTACTGAAGTAAGGCTTACTGGTCTATAGTTGCCCGACTCCTCCCTATTACCTTTCTTGTGAATGGCACAACATTCGCTAACTTCCAATCTTCTGGGACTACTCCTGTTAACAATGATTGGTTAAATAAATCTGTTAATGGTTTTGCTAGTACACCACTAAACTCTTTTAATAGCTTTGGGTGTATTCCATCAGGTCCCATTGACTTATTTGTCTTTATTTTTGACAGTTGAAATAGAACCTTTTCCTCTGTAAACTCACGTGCAATAAATGACTCATTTATCCCTTTCCTTCATTTTCATCTGTAAATACAGAACAAAAATATTAATTGAGGCAGTCAGCTAGACCTTTATCCTCTTTGACATACCTTCCTTCTTTTGTTTTTAATCTAACTAATCCTTGTTTTACTTTTCTTTTCTCATTTATGTATCTAAAAAAACTTTTGTCCCCCTTTTTTATTGACTGTGCTATTTTCTCTTCTGTGTGTGATTTGGAAGCTCTTATAACTTTATTAGCCTCTTTCTGCCTAATCTTATAGATCATTTTGTCTTCCTCACTCTGTTTTTTTTTATAATTACTAAATGCAATTTTTTTG